CCAAATATGTACTGGACACTGCTATTCCCCCGAAAATTGCTTTTAAAACAATTACTCCCTATATCAACCAAAAGACTAGGTCTAAGCTGCGGAAACTAAAAACAACGTGCTATATATCAAAAGACTTCAAAGCCCTGCACCAAATATACTGTGTACTTCAAGGAGTGAAAGTCAGCACAACAGACATAAACAGGCAGAGGAACGTACTGCGCTCACTGCTACATCTAAAGCCCAAAACTTATATTGTCTCCTTGAAAAACGCATAAGAAAGAACGCCAGTTACAGCATTCACTATATATTGCGCAATGATGTGACGTATTATGACCAAACCATCATATGTGAACTGTTGAGAAAACAGTTTTCTCACAATGGGAATACATTTCATACCCCAGATATTAACGTAATGTGCATCAGCAAAATTCATCTTAGTGTCATTAACTTTGGTCATAGTGGTATACACAACACCATCAAAGGCCTTAAGCCGAATGCGAGTTCCGGTGCCGATGACATTGAAGATACTACATGTATTTTAGTTTGACAACGCTTTACCAGTAGCACCTTCTATAATTGAATCGCGCCCACCCAGTAAAATCAAAATTCAGAAGGGAGGAGGTTGGGTGATATATTCGATAGATTATCAATGTATCGAGGAGTGACTGATCTAAACTAGCTAGTGATCGCAGGAGACGTTGAGCACTATGTTCCAACTCGTGATCTGGTGCAGATGCATGACCGAGCGCGTTCAGCTAAGTGAGTCCATTAAAACCAATGTGGTCAGCATGCAATGTCGAAGACTTACAAAGCTATTGATTCTGAAGATTTATTTACCACTACAAGACTGATCGATTGCAGTTCTTAACATCAAAGTGATTGTTCAAACATCCATTAAAATAACGAATTAGATACCATTTTCTTCAGAATCCAGAATACTCAATCAATAATTTAACTCGATAAATATCATTTTAATATATATTTTACTCTCCACTGATTTACAATGCATTACTCACTCCCTGAGAAAGTTTTTTATTCATATTTTTTTTCACTCACTGGTTTGTTTCCTTCAAAATATTTTTTACGAATCCTTTAGTTCATATTATTTTACTATGCAGACGTGTTTCAATACTTCACAAGCAGTCTAACGGTTTTAACTATCCGACATATTTTTGGAGAGCGCTTTTATCATAAACCAACGCCAAGGTTCAACTTTGTAGCATCAAGTAAAGAGTAGGAAATATTCTATCTGATATTTCGTCACTGGACGTAAGCCTCTTTTCAGAGCAAATGAATGACCGAATCAAATAAACACGAGTCTAAACGGTACGATGGAAACAATGTAGAATATTTGCGGCACGGTCAAAATCACAACAGGTCCGAGTTTATCGATGTCATGTTATTATTGGTCATGGTGAACTTGTATGACCTATCACTGCATTGATTTATACATGAGGTGGGTATGGAAAATGTATGCATCTGTAATTTAAAGTAGCAGGGTTGAAATTAGGTATGTATTTAGATTGTGTGGAAAAAAAGTGTTAGGTATGGTTATTTGGATAAATGGTTCATGTCGAATGAATATTCAAGCCTTCATTCTCATTGAAGAAAAAATGGATTTATAACCATGTAAACGTTCCAGCTACTCTTCTCTCTTTAAAGTTGGAGAAAACGTTCCGAATTATCTTGATATTTCTAATATCATAAGGGTGTCACGGGTATTCTGAGTTTTACAACTTTAACAATAACTTTACCAACTTAGTTAAATCAGAAGTGAAGAGATTCGAAGATATATTTGAAAGACTATCTATATTTCGAGAGGCGTTTGGTCTACGTTGTCCAACGGTTGGAGAAACGCAGCACGGAGTACCCACTAGTGATCTGGTGTGGATGTATGACCGAACGCACTCAGCCAGGGGGATCCAATAAAACTAATGAGATCAGAATCAGATGTCGAAGACTTACAGAACTATTTATTTTGGGGATTTGTTTACCACTCCAATCAACTCGGTGGTTATTGAAAAAAGTATGTACTGCCATTGCTGGTTTAACCTGAGTCTCTTCAGAAAAGCAACCAAGATCATTACTTCGGAAGACAAGGTAAATGGAAGAGAAACGACCATACGGTGATATTGAGGTCATCCACACACAATAACTACTTCTCTTACTCATGCTTTCCAACTTGTGAATGTTTCGCTATTCTGCTGAATCAATTCGTCACATCCAAATCCAGAGGTCCAAGCGCAGACTAGACGTTTGCCACTCAATAACAACGAGAAAGGCTATTTGGTTACCTACACCTTACACTCCTGTTGTCAGGCACTTATATCTTTTCATCTTTCAGCCTTTCTGTTAAGGGTGGTAACATTCCTGCAATCCATCACATCTATTTCAAAAGGTTCATCTGCATTTTCTTCAAAGTTAGCTCAGTTATTTGGTCAGTGGTTAGCCGAAGTTAGAGCTATTAGTTACTTTGAATTATCCAAATCATTATCGTTGACCACTCATCGTTGTTAACTATGCTTGGATCAGACATACACTTGATAAGGTCACTGATTGTACGGAGTGCCATTTTGGACAGATTATAATAACTGTGAACTCGTTGTGCAATATGACTACACAAACATGTTTATCAAGTTGTTGTGATGTGTGCATAAATAACTTCACGGGTTTTATCTGTATGATAATTCGACATGGGCAGTATCTTATCCGTAAACCCATATATTAAATTACTTATTATACCTGCTGTCAGATGTAAATTATTATTGTATCTCAGCAGCCAATAATTTCCAAAACCTGTTGCCAATGGCTTTCTGACCAATATATAGGAAGCGTTTCAGAATGCAGCATTGTAAGACATTGAACTTCCGCTACGTCTTACTGGTGTATTCAAAGGCCTGTGCACAATCGTTTCGATATTTTAGGTTACGCTAGGTTGAATGTAAATTATACTCTTATTTGTGCAAGCGACCCATCAAATAGACACAAAAATACCCGAGAATTATGTGTATCCCCAAAATAATGAAGTATAAACAACAAAAGAAAAGTCTTACTTTTTCTGCTGTAACGGCATCTGATTAAATGATAAGCTGAGAAATAGGTGGCGATGGAGGTTGTGAAATTCTAGTTGTAAAATGTTATGACAAGTACAATGTCTTTTTAGTGTGGCTGAATTTCCAGGGTCAAATAAGTGTTTGGTTAATTGAATAGAGATACTTACCGACGGCGATTGTCGAAAAACACGTTTATCGTTAGAAACCGTAACATTCCTGATGCTTCAACCAACCTGGAATCGGCAGAGGCAAACGTTTGTCATTTTCAAAGAGAGTCTAGGACCCACAGGCTTTGTGGAGAAATCTCATCCTTTCATATGACCACACAAGTCCTTGCACATTTCGCTACTTATTGTTGAGCATTAAAAACAATTCCCACTTCTCATTCTAAATAGCCAAATGAGATCACTTGATGACAATCTGAAATAACCTGGAAGACAACTGGATATCTTAAGTCAAGAACTGGAATCATTTCCCAAACGCTAGAAATAAATATGAGTATTTATGCATAGTACTAGGTAGCTCAATAGCACGACATACCTACTCGTAACCGAGTACCTTCTGTTGGGGTGTGTCTAGTGAAATTAATGAGGTCGGGATCAATGCCGAAAACTGCTTAGGGTGTTTATTCACCGCTACAGACTGATTAGCGTAAGTAGGTGCAGTTTTAGTTACGTGCCTTCATTGTAGAAATGATTGAGAATCCTTCGTAACTGTGGAGATACGTTTACTTTTTTAAACCTTTAGTTGCTTTTTCTGTTCATCGCAATAAACATATATTCTATCCATAATCATATCTAAGACCAGTAATCAAGCTACTACTTTGGAATCATTGTGTATTGATGTGGTATGGCAACTCTGACAGATGCACATGTTTTTCACGTCCTGAATTGAACATGACTAGCTGGGGAATTTTTTCAAGTCGAATATGTAGACTATCGTAATGACCACTCGGAAATAGTAGCGGCCACATGCAAGTAGATATTTTAGGTTTCTATGTGAGCGAGATGTAGATAGGTCTAAGGAACATGACATACTTAATGCAATTACCGTTGAATGAGGATTTGGATAATCAGTAAACCTCATTGTTTGTTCGTCGCACATTTCAATGGGGTTAACATACTGATTCTCATCAGGCATATTTAAAATTCGCATGTGATATTCATGTTTTCAACATGACTGAGCAGAACTGCACTAAAGTTAATACCAAGTACATCTGAATCATAAGTGTGAAGATCCTTCATGACAGTAATTGTTAATCTGGTCAATATGCTACTGCATGAAATCCGAACATTTATATGGTTCCAACAGCTCATTTTGCGCACTAAATAGTATCCTATGTGCTGAGGAATCTTTCAATACACAAGGAGTACCTCTTACGAACTATGCATCATGCCCTTTCTCCGCATTACCTGACCATATATTCCAAGTGAGTATTGATCTGTTTCCAAATGATTTTAAACGGACTATTCGGAAACACTAGCGCTTGTAATTATAATTCGGCGTTATAAGATAATGTTTTCCTGCTTATACGGCATGACTGTTTTGTACAATCTGTTTCATGAAACTGATAGCTCTCGGAGAGGAAATTGTTTTCATGTAGGCTCGTTTAAAAAATTGTAGAACCTACCACACTTTACTAATATATCCTTCTGGATAAGTTTAAACATAATGCAACTAGAACATTATTTAAAGTTGTCCCAAAAGTACTAAATATCAAGGAAATTGATGCAGAAATAAATTCAAGAGTATTGCCATAATTAGTGGGACATTTGATGACGAAATAAACGTATAGAAATCCTGCTCGTAATTAGCGTTGTAAATAGGGAGTTGGTTGATATTTTAGGTGTTTACTAACTTTTTCCTCCTATTGAAATGATTCATGTTCTTATTTAGCGACTTGTAGGCGAACGAAACTAGTTAGTCTGGTTCCTGTTTACGAAAAATGAAATTTTTACACAATGAAATAAAATCTTTATTTTGAAATTCGAAAGAATTTAGAAGTACTGAAAACTCTGGAATGAATGAACAATATTCCACAAGTGTGAACTTTACTATATAACTAGTTCTAAGATAAGCAATCAGGCTTAATGAACTTTAACTGAAGCGAAAAAGTAATCGCTGACAGAAGTGATACTTAAGCTGGTCTATAATGCTGACATAGCTAATTGGTTATACCAGTAAGAAATAATAATTTGATTTAAAATAAATCTTTATTTAAAGATGAAAGCGTATAAAATGTCAAATAGTATTTATCTTAGGGAAAATTAAAAGCTTGAGTTGGACTTTTATATATACTATTGTGTGTAAAAAGTAAATAAATCTTACAAAATATAAACACATCATTCTTAAATGACAACATATTTTTGAAGTATATGACGAGCCATTGCTGGATTACCATTAGTTCGATACAAAAGAGCTAAATTGAAAGCAGCTTCTCTATGCAGATTAGTAACCTAATAAAAGAAACCAAAAGATAGGGAACAATAAATACAGTAAGATCATACGATCATGCTAGCAACCAGACCACTGGTAACTAGTATCGAATAATGACGGAATTTGATAACTAATATCAGACACCAGATTGTGCCTAATAGCACAAAGAACGGCATTTAATAAAAAAGACTAAGATTTGAATGAGACAAAGCCGAAATGTAGTTAGTAAAACTGTCACCGAATACAGACAATACGGTGGTTAACCGACTGTTTAGAAGTATTCAGAATGGGGTTGTAAAGTTTGTTTATTTTCAGTGAGATCACAATCTAGTCCAAATTAGGCCACCCTTCAAAAGCGAGAAGCATTGGATGGTCTTTTCCACAAAGTGCCGGACTCCTCAGAAGTAGGCATCTACGTCTTCGCAAATCGAATCCAGCACACGTGGTTTAAGAGAGGTATGAACCTCGTGAAATCCAAAGGATCCAGGCTTTCACCGAGAGGCGTCATAATTCTTTTAAATGAAGATCGTTCAACAACTAAGGCAAATTATAAATTGTTTCAAAGATTTGCTTGGTTAGCTTCTTTTTAGCAAGGTTATTTCTTCGCAGAATTTCTGATGATTTTCACACAACCTAAGCCAACATACAATAACCTAACAGTCTCACCTTTTTTTTACTTAAAGTCATCGTGCATATGAGATCTGTTTATAAAATGAGTGCGTTAAACTTACCGAAGAGGCCGTATTTATTGAGAAACCATTTTAAAACAATATACGAGTATAGGTTAAGTTAAGCAATAGGTTTTTTTATTTCCTCAACAACAATGGTAATAGTGTATATTGAAAGAAAAGAAAACAAGACTTACAGACTTCTCTTCAGGATTGTTTCCGATAGGCTCCATAGCAAGGACTTTTTCATAATAATGAATAGCCATGTGAGTGATCACTGAATATTAAAAAAGAACAAGGGCCTATGTACTACAGTATCGATAATACTTAACTACATGCTCAATTACGAAAATGTCAACCATAAAATATACCACAGGAAGATGAGATAGGAAAGGTAATATTGTTTTTACAAGCTATGCTCATGTCCATTCGGAAATAAATGTTACATGTTTAACAAGAAATAATGAATGTGAAAGTTGTTCTCTTGTGATTTTTCCCTTCAAATGTTCACAAACGATGTGGTCTGATTAACAAAATAATAATCTTGTCAATGTAGACAAAGAAAAAACATAAAAGTAAATTTCTATTTACCAAACCATATAAGATACACACTATAACTCGTTTCAATTTCTACTTGATATCCACAAATAACACAAAAATAACTGTTTGGAGGTACTTTGTTTAATATATGCAAATATTTATTTTACATTTAGTTTTGCACTAAACAAAACAGATTAAAATGACTCAAGTCGAAACACACACAAACTATATTAAGCATGCGTTAGTAAAATGTACCTTCGAACGAAGGCATTTTAAAATGCTTCGTTAGGAAACAGATAATGATGATGGAGACGGTCCTGCTTAAACCTTTGTCAGAAACAGAAGTACACGTCCAAAATACTATAAAAAATGTACTGATTAAAAACTTGTCTTAATATCCATGGTAATTTCAGTCGGAAAAGTATGAGTCACTTTAAAATCTAATTGCATTCCGGTCTATTTTTACTGTAGTGAACAAAACACTGGTTGGGGACAATCGAATGTATTTAAGAAAACATTACAGACTATCTCAGTAAATTCTGAAAACCATACAATGGACAGTTAATTTGCAAATTAACAACCAATAGTCTCAATCTTCACTGTTTCTTCTCTAATTCCATTGTTCGTGCATTTTCCAACCGATTGCGCTTCGTTTCAGTTCTCATCGGTCTTCTGCCAAAATACATTCTATGTCTGACCAACACCATATACTACTTATATGGATATAAGTAGACCACACCACATTACTACTGGGTGAATAAAATTGTTAAAACTACGAACCGTTGTCCTAGTCATATAGTAGCCAGTCATAAATTCGAAGATTCTCATTCGTATGTGATCTAACAATAGAACTACACTCTATAGCTGTATACGCGATTAAGGGATTTTGAATGAAGAAATTAAAAATGACTGCAAGAATACCAGCAACTATGTAAAATAAAAATACACAATAAGAGATATAAACTAAAATATGATTTTATAGTGAAAGCATACCTCAACAAAATGTTTGATTTTTTCGGTTACGTATTATCAAACAATCACAAAAATAATCAGACAACTGATAAAGGATGAAAATGATATTCACATAGCTGAACGAAAAAAAGCTCACCAATTTAATTTTAAAGTGATTATGTGCTCAAGTGAAGAACATTACAACCATTGAGAGAAACCCTCAATTCCTCTTAATAAAAAAGCAACAAAAGAGAATCTATCATCTATCAGATTACCAGTAGTCAGTTGACTGAGAAACGAAGGACATCACCACAGGAAATGGTACTTTTATGTGATATATTAGCGCAATGTATTCCGAATAATCTGATCACACATATACTTGTTAAGAACACTTATATATAAAAATAAAAGGTGAACTAGACTGGAAATGGGAGGGGGGAAAGAGGAGACAAGGATAATAATAATAATGTGAAAACAATTTGACACCTAATCACTCTGGATAAGCTAATATTGCCAGGGTAGGTTTAGAGTGAGAACAAACTGTTTTTGAATACACAAGAGGGGTTTGAATTTTCGTATGGCTAAGGCTTCAATAAACCTTTTTACCCTTTCATACAACACCCCTTATTTCCAGTCTAGTTGACCTTTTATTTTTATATATAAATGTTCTTAGCAAGTATATGTGTGATCAGATTGTTCGAAATGTATTGCGCTAATATACCATATAGTTCTGATAATCTTCGTCTTCTTATTACATTATCGTTTGATAAAGATATGTATTCAAGTCAGGGTTTTTGAAAATAGAATGTCAGTAAACTTACAAAGTTGGTGACAAGCACGTGCTATATTGTAGTAAACCTCCTGGCAATCACCACGTAAACGTTTATACTCCCCAAGAAAACCAACAGCCTTAAATAAAGAAATAAATGGAGAGGCTACAATAATATGACAAAAATGGGATATTTAGAAAAAATATCAAAATATGTATATTGGGGGTCGTTACTACAAGATGGTAAGTTTAAAGGTATTCAAAAAGCGAAATCAAGGGCCATTGAAACTCTATAGAACGTCTGCGTGAGCAGGAGAACGTTTTATGATGTTACTGACGCATGAGTTAAAAACATTACTTCTTATAAATCTTAATTTCTTCTTAAGGGAAGACCTTCATGATCACAACAGAAGCGGTTTACGCAAACTTCACTCCCAAAAAATAACATCCAGATAACAAAACTATTTTATTTACTACTAGCATTGTTCTATTGTAACTGTATATGCAAATGAAATAATTTTTAAAAAGAATACTGAAATAATCCTAAATTTTTCTTTAGATGATTACACTCGCACACGGCAACCGACCGTGTAATGTATTACGTTTTTAAGAGTAGAAAAGAAACTTACCTGTAAAATAGCAAGATGACGTGAACCAATATGTTTCTGCATGGCCATACTTAAAAAACCAACGGCAAGTAATAAAGTGAGAAGTGCATCGTCCGGAAATTTTCCTCTCATATTGATTAGTCGGGCTTTCAGTCAAAAAAAGGAAAATAGTACAGTATGAGATGGGGTTCGATGATCATGTTGTAGGAGTCAATAAAAAGTTAATGAAAAATTAACGGTAAGTAATGTATCATCAGTAGAAAAGACCAATTATGAAGTTAAAACTACTCACGTGATTCAGTAGCACAGGAATTCAAAATCCATTCACTAAGCCACATGATAAAAATGAATACACAGGAATTAGAGTTAACAGTTATATACACACCATATACAACATGTACCCTCAAGTTTGTTATCTCTTTGCGAATATACAAAATTTATCCGTATGAAATTAAACCAAAACTAAGTAGTTCATGAATTTGGATTCCATTACATCTAAGCAGCGTGATTAGCACTTAATTTATGTGTAGTTTTGTTATACCTGAAGCGTTACGAATTCACTAGTAGCGAACGGAACAAAGACACGTGACCAGAGACCGATAACTAGCTATACTGACGCGACCCAGACCCAGCTAACTAGAGTAAGAAGTCTAAGTTGGAGCGGGGAAGTTATATTCCGTAGCAGCCAGAAGCACAGCAATCAAATAAGGGAAAAAGTCAAGCGTATTTATACAGCAACAAATTGTCCTTGGGCATCGTTAATAAATAGCACACACAAAGAAACAATGGACCAATAGCGTTTAAGATAGTTACAAGTGGGAAATATGGTGTGAAGGTAAAAAGAGCGCGTTTGGTGCGCAAACAGCTAAATTCAAATTTCCAAAATAAAATTACAAAATTGAGCCACTTATCAAGTAAGTTCTGGGGATTTGACATCCCCAACAGGTTTGTAAACAGCGAATAAATCTTTACAAAATTACTGATTTTAGCATTATTTAAAAAAAAAACGAAGACGCATTCAAGCCAAGAAATCGTCATGTAATTTAATATCAAACTAATATTGACTGTATTAAACGGATTAGTTTGATATACACCTAACATTAAAGAATATTTATGTGGTAAATGTTAGACTTCAAGAAAAAAACAGCTAATGAGATTATTGTCATAGATGATGACTTAGTCACAATATATCTGATTATCACAAATAATACTTGACAAACTAGCACATCTAGTCAAAAATACATTGATGGAACAACCGAATACAAGCAGAATTAGTTACGACAATAAATAATACGTTGTTCTTTAATTAAAGCTATGAATCCTCATCAAATGAAACGACATGAATATGTACTACATATGTTTAACCTCTTCCAAACTCAACCCAGAATGATGTGATGTGAGAAAGCAACTAAAATAAGAAACAGTATTAGTTCATGTAGTCATTGACTGTTGGTCTGAGCTGGGTGAGAAGGTGTAGACCAAGTGGCTGGGTTTCAAGCAATAATCGTGATCCATAGCTGCAGACGTTCCGGTAGAACTGGAGTTTGAATATCCGTTAAGAGTGATGAGTACTACATTTGGAAAGACATTAATTTTCAAATTCAGTCAGTCAGTCAGCGACAACGTAGGACCAGGCACATATATGCATCGGTCCAAGTTGCCATACCTCGTTAGCACAACAAGATCAACACCGGATTCATAGAAGTAATTAATTTAGTGATGGTAGTGTTATGTCTTGTAGCCGAGTGGATGACTAGTTAATGTGTGATGCGATAGAACCGCCAATCAGGGAGCAGCGAATTATCGACTGGAACAGCGACACGAAACCCGTACGACCAGTCTACAGTGCTAACCGGTCCTGTGATCTGCCTAGCCCAGCCAGTTAAGTCCAAAACACCAATAACAGAATCAGTGGTATGAATCATTATTTACAAACACGCTGGGTTTTTATACAAACCAAAGTAATCAACAAACTGATTATAACTCAAGAATCGTATGATAATAAGTCAAGGTCAAAATAAAGCTAATGATAAGAGAAATACGAATATGAATAGTTCAGTTACGTAATAATTGTACAATAGGAAATAGGCATATTACATTGATCCATAAATAGACCTAAAAGTTACCATTCGTAATTCACCGGGGGATATAACAGGTAGTATATAAAGAAAGGTTGTATATAAGAATATAGTATAGGAAGGAAAAAAGTTATGAAGCAATTTTAATCTCAAGGTTTAAGAGAAGATAAAAAGTGTATACACCTACGCCATTGTGATCGATTCTGAGCCATGTCACGCAGAGTCTCCAACCATTGGTTACGATAGTCACGCGGACCCCAACCAGGTAGTCTGCATCTATCAACATGGCTCAGACTAGAAGTTAGTGACTTCAAGCACTGATGCCATGTTTTGGTTTGGCCGCCCCTAACTCTCTTCCAACCATCCCCTACACTAGTCAACATTGCGCGTCGTGGTAATCGATGTTCAGGCATACGTAACACGTGGCCCAACCATCTCAGTCGATGTAGATTCATCACCTCATCAACTGATTTACCATCATTCCCTAATACCCTGCGTCTAACCTCACTATTACTTACCCGGTTATCCCAGCAGATGCCTTAGAAATATTTCTAAGGCATCTGTGGTCAAATACTAGTAACCTACGAGTATCTTCTACTCTTAATGGCCATGTTTCACAGCCGTAAAGTAGAACAGAGCGAATTACTACGCAGTATACTCGTCCCTTAATTGATAGACGGATATCTCGTCTTCGCCATAGGTGACGTAAGTTGGCAAAAGCCAAACGAGCTTTTTGAATCCGTGCTGAGATTTCGTCAGACACCAACCCATTAGGGCTGATCAGACTTCCAAGATAGGTGAAGTTGTCCACGCGTTCGACTACTTCACTCCATTACTTCACTTCAAATTCACATATTGGTTTAAAATAAACTTTATTCACTGATTAAGAATGAGTTTTCGTTTCTACCGATCTATTCAGTAAAGTTAGTTGGTTGGTTTTAAGTTATCTTAGTTAGGTTCAGAAATTCACTGTGATTTTGTACAGTGACAACTTCGTTTGATAAAGTTTGTGATTAAGAATCGCTGAATAATAGGGATGTAACTGAATTAAATATTGTTTCGACTCGTTTAGTACTCATCTTGCAAATTCCATCTTGATTTATAGATGTGATGTGGCAACTTGAACTAATCCACGTTTGTGCCACTATCTACGTTAATCAGGAGTGAATTATTTGAGTCCCAGAATTAGGTCTAAAACGAAGAAGTGCTGAATAACTTTTATCAGTTTTGTATCTAAATGTATCTACAATAACACACTAATTCACTAAGTCATGAATAATGGTATGATATTTCGCATTATACTCTCCATACAGATAACTTTCACCCACTTACTTTTTCCGATTTTCAACTACAAAGAACGAGCCAAAGATAATTTATTCAAACAAATTATTTGTTCCAATTAAGATCATAAGTCGGTCAATGTTAGACCACTATCAAGAACCTGGAAGCACTGAATGACTGTTTCGCTCTAGTATGTGACTTCTCAGCAGTGCCCATACATGATACCACGCATATGACCCGAACCCAGGGCCTTCAGTCTTGCGCGATGATCTCAATCAAAGCACAACAATCTCCACAAACCTATGCTGATAAAACTATCTGTTGTTAGATCGAGAGAAGACTAATGACCATCGATTATTTAATGAAGACAATCGGTAATGAAATAAAAAAAAGTTATCTCAACGCCAGAAAATCAACAAAAAATAACAATCACAGCAACAATGAAAGTTGAACACGTAATGAAAATAAGTCAAATAAGAAGACTTGCCAATAGCATAACGATATGAACCTCGAACCAAAGTGTCACTACTAGCAATAGTACCAATAGCCAAATTCAAACTATCCTGAAAAGCATCGAACAATAAAAATATATGAGGAAAAAAAATTTAAACAGCACTCAAGAGAATTCGTATGATATTTATAATAGGCTCAACGGTAATCGTCTACTTATTAACACAACGATAACGAGAGTAATATTGGTGGTTGTATTGTATCTTGTTTCACACATACATCTTATTCAGTTTATGGTGTAATCATCCAGTACTTACTCTTGATCAAATTAAATGAATCCAAGTGGTGGGATACAGTCATAAAACAAATAAAGGAAATGCAAAGAAAATAACGTTGAAATCTTGTCTACACTTAGTAGTAAATCCTGTGAGATAAGCTTATTTTACTGTGAATAAGCTTATGCGCTTCCGAGATGCAAACCAACGTTAATCTAAAATGTAACGTAGCTGTGAGACCGTCAGCAAATTTTGATAATGAATTTTCTAGTCTATAATTTCGTATATACAATATTGAGATATAACACTAACATTTGTGTGTATTTCTAACAAAACATATGCGATAAATTATCCCGTTAACTGCATTTCGATAAAATGATAAACAATCGAGATATCATTTGTTGTCCAAGCACAGTATGGTTAATGAGTAACATATCAGTTGAACACTAGATTTATTTATATAAAACCTACTTTAGTAACTAAACGATCCAAAAATCTGCAGTGTTTAAAATCACGTGAAAGAGTGATTGCCAGATTCATCACATTCCAATATTGGTTATATTCACTCCACTGGAAAAGAATTAAATTTATGTGAAACTCGTAAAAAATATCACTGATTTCAGAATTCATTTAAAGTTTGACGATAAAGTGAATAAATACAAACATGCAAAGAAATGGAGTTCGTCAAAATAATAATCATAATAAGTTACTGAATCATACTTAACCTAGTTCAACTTGTGTGCGTTAAATAGTTATCTATCAGTTGTTTCGGTATCCCAAGTAACAGAAAAGTCGGAAACTATCTCCTTCTTTACACATCAATGGTACTGTAAGCCTAAAATGTTAGGAGTCTTTGTAGAATAGGTAGAAGGAAATAAGTGGGCTTCGGTTACACAGCAAAATACTATGAATAAAACATTCGTGAGAGTGAATGAACTACGATTTGTGGATCATCAGTATGAAAAGTAAATAAATCAAAATATTTTAAGCAGAGATGGATGATGGGTAGCAGTGGAGCCCGAGACCTGTGATCTGTTCTAAGCGGGACTCGCCACCTGAATATACCTGCATCCCAGATCTCTTGATACTAGCTAAAAAGTTGGTATTTTGATAGTGGTTTGCTTCAGTCTGTGTTATCATTGATTATTATAACCAACAAAAGTTCGCTAGAAGAAAAACTAAAGTCATTTGTTACACTTAACTACAATTCATATCCTTTTTAATATGTAAAGTTTTCAAGTCTACAAGATTACAGCTTTTCACTATACATATATCACTTATTTTCTACTTCGATTCGTTGGACAGGACTGTTTTCTGTAAGTCTATTGATGAATAGTGAGTCTGAGAAGTTTATTAACATCTTGAAAACTTCATACACATACACCTCTCTTCATTGTTTCGTTCAAGCAATGGGGTTATACAGGGTTGCCCGATCTTATCATTCTCCTTCAACTTCGCCATCGATGACATTCTGTGAACAGCTCGGATGGATGCAGGTAATGGTGGTGTGGATCTGTTGTCTGGAGAAAGACTTCTCGACCTTTAGTATGCGAACGATGTTGTCTTACTGTGCGATGATACTCAAACCATGCAATCCGCATCTAATCAATTGGCAATCAGTGCCAGTAGGTATGGTATGTTCTTTGCACCTTCCACGTGCAAAGTAATTCTATAAGACTGTCAGGACCCCGATCCTGCAGGCACCCTAGGTAGCGAGCGGATGGAGGCAGTCGAGAAGTTCGTGTATTTGAATAACTGAGTAAGTGCTGATGCAGGCGTATAATGAAAGTCAGAGCGGCCTATACCCATCTGGGCCATACTTAGCGCCTTCGTGATGTTAGTCTGGTTGTAAAAGGTCGGATCTACAACGCATCGATGAGAAGTTTTGCTCTATATTTGTGAGACCTAGCCTCTTCGAGTTGAGGATGTTAGACGACTCTCTGTGTTTGATCAACATTGTCGCCCTAGTTGGGGTCCTGTAGATGGTGCAACACAATAGCCTGAAACGCTATCATAAACAGCTTAGGATAGAAGCCAGTGGCGATCCTGGTGTAACTTTTTCTACTTTTTTTTGTGGAAGTGAAAGTAAATTCCTTAACTGAAAGCATTTTTTCTGGTTGTTCTGGTTGTTCAGTTGTTCCAATGTTTATGTGTTTAAATATACAAATAAATTATAGCTGACAAGGCTTTAAAACTTATTGCTTTTCCGTACAGCATTGAAATTATAACAAATTATTCCCTTAAAGACTACGACTTGATGATGACTGACTTTTGAAAAGCCAGAGTTATTGAAGCATTGAAAACGAGAGCACGAAAATTATCAGCTGACTTCCAAGGATATTTAGATTTTATTTTAGCTATAAAATGTTGTACTTATTGGCTACTGCTCATAACAACAGCTTGGAAATGATTAGCGATCTAGTCTCGTAGATCAGGCAGTAAAGCAATAGGTCAGTAGCGCTTAGATCGCTGGTTACGATTTTCCGAAGTATTCATTTACATTATTTCAGATAGTTTAATTACTGGTTTCCTAAATCGTACATTCTTTATGTTTGATGCAGATTACCCTCTCTAGGAATACGTCTTACCATCGCTAATGAATACGTTCTAAACAGGGAAATGCTGCAAAACATACGTTTTAGACGATTACTGTTGTGTGTTTTGGACTAAACTGGCTGTTTTTAGGCAGATCGGAGGACCGGTTAGCCATCTAGTCTGCTCGTACGGGTTTCGTGCCACTGTTTCAGTCGATAATTCGCTGCTCCCTGATTGGCGGTCTTATCGCGTCATACATTAACTAATCATCCACTCGGCTACAAGATATAACAATTACATAACGTGATATATATTATAGCTCACCTGTTTTTGTATTTTTCGTAATTCCAAAAATGCTGGTGTGCCATGACGTGCAATAAGTGAAGAGCTAATTAAAAGATGACTTGCAGCTAACCGACGTAAATCATTGCCTTGAACATGAGGTAATAAAGAAGCCCATGCAGTAGCTGTTTCCAATTGAGGCAATGATTTTGGCAAACGAGCACGTAAAACATCAACAACACGCAAAAATAATCCCCAAATATCTGAGCTGCTTACACCATTTGTTTCTGTAGTTGAACGTTCAGCATCTATCTGGTTAGATAATGTATCAGTCAATGCCGGAGCAACAGAAGCTAGTCGATCAATCACTAATTTTCGGTGCTGTTCACTATCAAGAGTTAAGGCAACTTTAGAAAAAAAGGTAACGAAAGATAAAAAATATTTACCACTAACGTTATCCTTATTAGATTTCATACAAATTTACATAAACTGAATTTAAAATGATATGAGAGCTATTATTTTCGCTGTAGTAAATAAACAGTGTGAATGTTTCGATGAAAATAGATAAAACGGTTTAATTATTAACGACTAAGACAGTGTTGTTGCATAAACAATTGGAGGAAAATCGAAATAAGTGGTTGTATTTTAGTGTTACTTATACACAGAATATATCTTGTAGATGAAACTCTTGGACAAGATAATGATGGAATAAGTATAAGACGAAGTATCCAGGCAACGAAAAGTAATGGCATCTCATGAGCAAACCTTACACAGCGCGGTGTAACAATATTAATTAAAAATCCAATATAAGTGAGATGAAACAAAATAAAATGTATTGCGCAGTCAACTGTTTCCAAAGTAATCATGCTATAGAACATCGAAGATAAAGTTAATGACTTAAGTGTACTAGAAAAAAATACTCTTATCCCAGGAGCACAGAGAAACGAATAATAAATCTACAGTAGATAGCATAATACAACAATTTAGATCATTTTAGTTCTCAGTTGTGAATAATTGTAGTAGCGAATTCCAGTTCACACTTTAACTAATTACTATTGTCTAAAAGATGAAAGTTTAACACTTTTATAAATATTACGCATCTGTTTATGTACAAAGCAAATGTAGTCATGCTGAAAGATTTATTTGACTTTAAATTTGGTGAATCTTACTAGAACGGTTGTAGCTGAATTTCTAGCCACTTAGTATGTCCACAGACTACTTCTACTCACTAACCCAAGCAACGGAGAAAAGGGAAGTATATGCACATTAAATTGTTTTCATTTATAGGCTTTGAGATGATGGTGATATAGTAACACAAGAAGTAGTTTACCAATCAAAATGTGACACAATCTTTTATTTTTCCAGACATTTCTGAGAAGCTTCTATTTAGTGCCGACTAGATGAAACGTTTTCAGCTTCCCCGAGCTTATGGAGATTTTGTCGAAGGACATTTTTGGGCTCCCAACAAAATTATATGAGTAATAGGTGTGGGAGTAATATTCGAAACAGTATAAATCCCTCTATTTTATTTTAATATTCAGTAGACTATCGAGGTTAAATCATTCAATTGTGGATTTAAATTCACTCGAACTAATTCGGTTTGAACAGGTAATTAATCCTTCGGTTACAGTGAGCAAATCCATTTACATTATTGAAGCGTACGAAACTATATTAAGTTATAATGTCTACAATTACCCATAGCATGCACTTAAATTTGTCATATTTATTAATTCCGTTCTCATTATTTCTTGAATGATGAAACATAAGTAAATAATTACTCTTAATATTATGATAAAATGTGTACATTTTGATCTCATCGTGATATATAACACACAGAAGACAGAATAGTTTTCAAGCTGGATCAATAATAAAAGTGAAAAAACAGCAAAATTTTGTAATATATCTGATTTTAACAAATAGCATTTACAAGAAAAATAATGAGAAATGGGATATTGATTTAATAAAAAATTTCCTTACGTTGAGTGAATCTAGGTCCACAAACACGTGTCACATCGCTAAACAACAAAGCCCAAGCTTCTTCCAAAAATGAATCAACACTTTCTGGTGTATCAAGCATTCGACAACGTTCGTAGGCTAATCTGTACGCCACATGATCCCGGGAGACAAGATTAGCAGATGCATCGAGCCAGTCACTATCTAGGCAAACTTTCTCAACCGAACACTCATCACTATCGACGTCACCAACAACTGAAGTTCTTTGTAAGTCAGAAAAAGCAAATGATTTAGCAGTTGATCTGTGACTGGATTTCAATGGAGATTTTTCTCTTTTCTGTACAATTAAATCACATTGTTCGGTCAAAGATATTTCGGGTTTAACACCTTTTTGAACTAAATTTGAGGGATTTAAGAACTAAAATTTCAGAGAAGCAAAAAAGATAAAAATTGATATTGTAACCAGAAATGACAAACATAAACATATTATTATTATAAATCCCATTCCTTAAAGATTCAGAGATTCGATAATGACAACGTAAGTGACAAACTAACAGATGCATATTTCAAAAACGAAGGAGGAAATGCATTTACGAATGAGTAGAGACATAACTCGATAAAGTTTCAAGCCGCTTGCGAGTAAATGTCGCTCCAAGGCCTAGATAAGGGAGGAGGGTAGAAAAGAACATTGCTATATATATATATATATATATATATATATATACCATAAACTTCCATTTGATGTCTTGGCTACTACCCCAAATGCCCTGGTACGGCCGAGAGTGGGGAGAGTCTACTCTCCCTCTCGAAATGCTCTCATATGGCCAGCGAATATATAGCCTCTGCCAGGGAAGTCCTACTCACTGCCTTCTCGCATCTCGGGTGTTGTTTACGAAAGTGAGAGGACGAAAAGCGAATGTCCGGCGCTATAACCGGATTGGTGGACACGGAGGGTCCACCTAGGGGAGTTGGAAAACCCTGATTCCAAACCAATGGTGCACATGGGCTCCAGTTTCCTGATGGAACGAATGGCGGAAGAACCTGTCATTGGTCAACGACTACCATGGGACTGTATCTTCTAACGTTGCTCCACTGCCTTGTGGATCAGACCTCCACATCAAAGGCTCGTGGTGTGGCCCCCTAAGAAAACCACCTGCTTCGGTTTGGGCACCCGGGCAGTATCACAGCCCACACACAAATGAATGAAATGACGAACTCTATTGACGATTCTATTCCTGCTCATATTATAAGCAAGACAATTTACGTTATTATTATTATTATTATTATTATTATTATTATTATTATTATTACTTACCATATCGCTAATTCACCCCCTTTTACCCCCAATTTGTGTAACCTTACTCTTCAACTTATGCATCAGCTCGCTCTTGGTGGAAAATCTGTCCTATCTAAACGATCTCCAGTCACTGTCTGGTTGAAAGTGAATGCTTCCACCGATAATGAATACTGAGGCAGTCTTTCTGAAACCGCGTACGCCGTTCAAGCTGGCTTCCTTCAACGTTCGCACACTAATGCAGATCAGACAACAGATAGGGCTGGCTATGTCTTTGGAAGGTCTTAATGTTGATGTTTGCTGTCTATCCGAGACCCGTATTCAAGACTCTAGTGAAGTACTACAAATCCGCTCTCCATCTGTCGCCTCGAAAAGCTTGTTCCACGTGCGCTTATCCGGGGACCCTGTGGCATCTTCGTCTGGTCTTGCTGGCGTTGGTGTCGCACTAAGCGCTAGGGCTGAGGCAGCACTAATCGATTGGTTCCCCATTAACAGTCGGTTATGTGCTGTTAGATTAGAAAGTTCCATCAAAGTGAGAAGAAACCGGCGTGAGAAACGGTGTCTTTTCGTCATCTCCGCCTATGCCCCGACAGATTGCAGCCCGGATGCAATCAAGGATGAGTTTTACCATCAGTTAACAGTTCTTCTCCAGAAAGCGCGTTCGACAGATATTGTAGTACTAGCCGGAGACTTGAATGCACAGGTCGGGCGTCTAGGCACAGAAGAGAGTCGTCTAGGTGGCCGATGGGGACTTGTTGGTCGCCGGACAGATAACGGGGACCGTTTGCTGCAACTGTGCACAGACCACAACCTGTTTCTGGCCAGCACTAACTTCCGGCACAGTCATCGCCGGTGTGCCACCTGGCGTCCTCCCTCTGCATCCTAAGCCTGGACTCAGATTGATCACATCGCGATCAGCTACCGCTGGCGTGGTTGTGTACAAGACTGCCGCTCCTTTTGGAGTACCTATCTGGAGTCTGATCATGCCCTGGTCTGCGCCAATCTCACCTTACTTTTCAGTGGCCGAAGGATTGACCACCACCAACGGATTGATATTAGTAAACTGGCTGCAACTCCTGTTGCAAGTAAGTACCGAGCGGAGTTAGCCTCTAGGCTAGCTAACACCCCACCGAAAAGTATAGATGAGCATTGGTTGCATCTTCACGACGCCATGAAAATGGCGAGTAAAGCCGCTTGCGGCTTCGCGAAACGTCCCGCTTACAAGCACTGGGTTTCTTCTGGCTCCTTACAACTGATGGAAGCCCGTCGGTCTACTCCGGGTGACCGTGAGTTTGACCACAAACGAAGGCTGCTACGCTACGAAATTGGGCAAAGCCTGCGTAGGGACCGAGAAGCCTGGTCGTCGGAGAGTGCTAATGAGATGGAAGCAGCAGCTGCATCTGGTAACTGCCGGAAGCTCTTCCAACTCATCCAAGCCACTGGCAGCAAGAAGTCTGGTGTGAGTGAAACAATCTACGAGGATGACGGGATGCCAATCACTAACATCTCCCGACGTCTTGGACGATGGGCGGAATTTTTCGAAGGGCAGTTCAACTGGCCTGCTGCTCCGGCAACATCAACCAGCTTGTCCTGCCCCCCATGGCCGGTGACGACTGATCCACCAAACGAGGCGGAAGTCCGCAAGGAACTCCAACTCTTGAAGCGCTACAAATCACCTGGCCCAGATGACTTACCTCCGGCTCTTTTTAAAGATGGTGGCGACTTTCTGACTAAGGAATTGACTGTGTTGTTTGGAAAGGTTTGGGAGCAAGAAAGTGTTCCAACATCATGGAATGAGTCAATAGTCGTCCCTATCTTTAAAAAGGGTTCGCGTTGTTCCTGCAATAACTATCGGGGGATAAGTCTACTTCCGATTGCGTCCAAACTATTGGCTTCTATCATTCTTCGTAGGTTGTTTAAAACCCGAGAACGATTGACTCGCGAGGAGCAGGCTGGTTTTCGTTCTGGTCGAGGATGCATTGATCACATCTTCACCCTCCGCCAAATGTTAGAACACCGTCATACTTATCGCAGGCCAACAATCGTAGTGTTTCTTGATATCAGGGCTGCCTTCGATTCGTTGGACAGGACTGTACTCTGGGATTGTCTATTGAAGAAGGGTGTGCCTGAGAAGTTCATTAACATCTTAAAGGCCCTGTACACGAACACCTCAGGCAGAGTGAGGGCATACAACCACCTTTCTCCCTTGTTCCATTCGAACAGTGGGGTTAGGCAGGGTTGCCCGATCTCACCATTCCTCTTCAACTTTGTCATCGACGACATCTTGGAAACAGCTCTGATGGATGTAAGTAATGGCGGTGTGGATATGTTGCCTGGAGAACGACTTCTCGACCTTGAGTATGCGGATGATATTGTCTTACTGTGCGATAATGCCCAAGGCATGCAATCAGCACTTAATCAGTTGGCAATCAGTGTCCGCAGGTACGGCATGTGCTTTGCACCCTCCAAGTGCAAAGTACTTCTACAAGACTGGCAGGATTCTAATCCTGTACTCACCCTGGATGGTGAGCAGATCGAAGTAGTTGAGAAGTTCGTGTATCTAGGTAGCTATATAAGTGCTGGTGGTGGCGTGAGTGATGAGGTTGATGCACGTATAAGGAAAGCCAGATCGGCTTATGCCAATCTGGGCCATCTTTGGCGCCTTCGTGATGTTAGTCTGGCTGTAAAAGGTCGGATCTACAACGCGGCGGTGAGAGCAGTTTTGCTCTATGCTTGTGAAACCTGGCCTCTCCGAGTTGAGGATGTTAGACGTCTCTCTGTGTTCGATCATCGTTGTCTCCGAAGGATTGCTGACATCCAGTGGCAACACCATGTTAGTAATGCAGAGGTTCGGCATCGTGTGTTCGGGCACAGAAACGATAATTCAATTGGTGTCACCATCTTGAAACACCGACTTCGGTGGCTTGGACATGTTTTACGAATGTCGTCCCAGAGACTTCCACGTCGTGCATTATTTGCCGACCCTGGGACTGGTTGGAAAAAGCGGAGAGGAGGTCAGTGTATGACATGGTGTCGTGGCATGAAAGAGAGCTGCAAAGGGCTAGCTTCTGTTGGTCCTTCACGACTCCTTGGTTGGGGTCCGAGAGATGGTGCAACACAGTGGCTAGAGACGTTATCAGATATGGCTCAGAATAGAAACCAGTGGCGATCCTGCTGCAACCTTCTTTTACTTTCTACATGAAGTATGTTTCTTACTTTCCTATTTGAAAGTGTCTTCTGGTTGTACATTTTAGTCCGCCTTATCTTTTCATCCCTTCTCTTCCTACTTTCATTATTTTGTGTGGCGCATATGTACCTGGTGCCCTTTTGTACCAATATATATGTGTTTAAATAAATAAATAAATAAATAAATAAATCATACGATTTACCATTCTTAAGTTGTTCCCAATCTACTACTAACAGTCTCTCACATTCAAAGACAATTTTGGCCTGATCTCGTATAATTGTTATTTTCTATTTTATAGTATGATGCAGTCTGATTCTTTTGTATAAAAAATAAGCATATATGAAATATATGATTCGTAGAGTGGAAGCTGAGATTGTGTTCTGGACTGAAACGAGCAAGGGTAAGCGGGAACAAATGAGGACTTAGAAAATAATCAAGGCTGCTGGTAATGATTAACGCGTCATTGGTTTGGCACAGAGTTAAGGTCGTATAAGTCGGTGTTCTGATTAGCGAACCCTTCATGTGACGGTTGAAGGGGCTTAAACACAACGTACTGAAATTCAGGACTATGTGGGAGACCATAAGACTAGTAACACTTTATCAGTTGTCTGATTATTTTTGTGATTGTTTGATAATACGTAACCGAAAAAATCAAACATTTTGTTGAGGTATGCTTTCACTATAAAATCATATTTTAGTTTATATCTCTTATTGTGTATTTTTATTTTACATAGTTGCTGGTATTCTTGCAGTCATTTTTAATTTCTTCATTCAAAATCCCTTAATCGCGTATACAGCTATAGAGTGTAGTTCTATTGTTAGATCACATACGAATGAGAATCTTCGAATTTATGACTGGCTACTATATGACTAGGACAACGGTTCGTAGTTTTAACAATTTTATTCACCCAGTAGTAATGTGGTGTGGTCTACTTATATCCATATAAGTAGTATATGGTGTTGGTCAGACATAGAATGTATTTTGGCAGAAGACCGATGAGAACTGAAACGAAGCGCAATCGGTTGGAAAATGCACGAACAATGGAATTAGAGAAGAAACAGTGAAGATTGAGACTATTGGTTGTTAATTTGCAAATTAACTGTCCATTGTATGGTTTTCAGAATTTACTGAGATAGTCTGTAATGTTTTCTTAAATACATTCGATTGTCCCCAACCAGTGTTTTGTTCACTACAGTAAAAATAGACCGGAATGCAATTAGATTTTAAAGTGACTCATACTTTTCCGACTGAAATTACCATGGATATTAAGACAAGTTTTTAATCAGTACATTTTTTATAGTATTTTGGACGTGTACTTCTGTTTCTGACAAAGGTTTAAGCAGGACCGTCTCCATCATCATTATCTGTTTCCTAACGAAGCATTTTAAAATGCCTTCGTTCGAAGGTACATTTTACTAACGCATGCTTAATATAGTTTGTGTGTGTTTCGACTTGAGTCATTTTAATCTGTTTTGTTTAGTGCAAAACTAAATGTAAAATAAATATTTGCATATATTAAACAAAGTACCTCCAAACAGTTATTTTTGTGTTATTTGTGGATATCAAGTAGAAATTGAAACGAGTTATAGTGTGTATCTTATATGGTTTGGTAAATAGAAATTTACTTTTATGTTTTTTCTTTGTCTACATTGACAAGATTATTATTTTGTTAATCAGACCACATCGTTTGTGAACATTTGAAGGGAAAAATCACAAGAGAACAACTTTCACATTCATTATTTCTTGTTAAACATGTAACATTTATTTCCGAATGGACATGAGCATAGCTTGTAAAAACAATATTACCTTTCCTATCTCATCTTCCTGTGGTATATTTTATGGTTGACATTTTCGTAATTGAGCATGTAGTTAAGTATTATCGATACTGTAGTACATAGGCCCTTGTTCTTTTTTAATATTCAGTGATCACTCACATGGCTATTCATTATTATGAAAAAGTCCTTGCTATGGAGCCTATCGGAAACAATCCTGAAGAGAAGTCTGTAAGTCTTGTTTTCTTTTCTTTCAATATACACTATTACCATTGTTGTTGAGGAAATAAAAAAACCTATTGCTTAACTTAACCTATACTCGTATATTGTTTTAAAATGGTTTCTCAATAAATACGGCCTCTTCGGTAAGTTTAACGCACTCATTTTATAAACAGATCTCATATGCACGATGACTTTAAGTAAAAAAAAGGTGAGACTGTTAGGTTATTGTATGTTGGCTTAGGTTGTGTGAAAATCATCAGAAATTCTGCGAAGAAATAACCTTGCTAAAAAGAAACTAACCAAACAACTCAAAACAACTGTCAACTAATGTCAAAGTGAGAATCTTCAATACGAACGTCAAGACAGTCCTACTGTACGGAGCTAAAATTTGGAGAACTACTACAACCATCATCAAAAAAGTACAGGTATTTATAAACAATTGTCTACGTGAACTATTTAGTGCCCATTGGTCGGTCGCCATCAGTAACAGCTTACTATGGGAGAGAGCAAACGAATTTCCATCCGAGGAGGAAATTAGGAAAGAACACTGGAGGTGGGTAGGACATACGTTGCGGAGTACATCAAACTGCATTACGAGGCCAGCCCTAACTTGCAGTCCTGAAGAAGATCGAAGAACACATCGTATCGTGAATTTAATGTAGACACCAAAAGGATGAATGGCAATTGGAAACAACTGGGAGAGAGAGCTCAGGACAGAGTTGGTCGGAGACCTATGCTTCACTAGGGGTTACAGGTAGTAAATAACGACTTAATATAAAATTGAAACCATTCATTGATAAAGTTTATGAATTCTATAAAGAAACATCCTGCGAAACTTACTTTTAAAGCTTCCTGATTCCTACCAAGGCGTCTAAGAAGATTCACAAGACCCAAGCGTGCGCCGGTATGCCGAGGATCAAGATTTTCTATGACATGGCGATAGGCTTTGATGGCACTTTCTGTTTCACCTGCTTCTAAGTAACATTCAGCCAGTAATGTCCAAACTTGTACCAACTGATAAAAATAAATAAAATTTAAACCAAATTATGGAATAGTAAATTACCTGAAATTACCTAAATAATCCCGAGATCTAAGAAGCAGATTGATATGTGGTTAGAGAAATTAAATGTGATTGATTACGAAGTTTTGACATACAAACACTTAGCTTACTGACTATTAAATGTGATTTTCTTTCCTATTATTGATTTTCAATCTGGACTCAGTGTGACTCTGTACAGTATTGTCTAGAGTATGCTTCGGTCCTCCGCTTTTTGTTGTGAATCGTATGTCTGATGCACCGTGATCCAGTCTGTACATAGCGCATCGATCAATTACAAAACTAGTGACAGCAAAATTTCGGCCACTGGTTGGATTATCATACTATATTAGGATATCGTGGAAACGAGGAAATATTTAGGTTTAGCCGTTATATCACAGAACTACAACCATTTATATATGTATCCCAAGTTCTTTGGTAATTACTTGACTCCTAACGAACCTAACATATCTATATCTTCAGACTGCTGGCTTATTCATAACACATTTTGTTCACGCGTTCTCTTTAACTCTCGTACATCAATCCCCATAGTATAATTTTAAAATAGATGTACATTTAACAAAAGGATGTTTAAATTCATAACAATAAACTCAAGTATAATGATGACAAATCTGAAATTAACAAACTTAATGAAATTTTAGCTAGGATTGGATAGAGCTAGGGAAAACTCATGGTAGACGATAGATGGAAAAGTTAATGCTTCATACTAAAAATACACACTTATTTTTTCTGCAAACAAAGTAAGTGAAAGTCATTTCATATTCTGTCGTCCGATCAATGGTTAATCAAACCTGTATTATATTTATTGTATGCTGATAGATGCACAGATTACTCTGATTCAACATTAATAACACAATGCAGTCTACATTTACAGGCGCCTAGGTACTTGTTGTGCTTCTTAGATTTAGTTTAACGAATTTGAAGATTGACGTAGGGAGATTAAGAAAATTTGTTTAGATTACTTTGGATTCATTACATGAATAAACTGCATCCTCAAAAACTAGACTAAACAAAATGTATATTTGTTAATTAAAATTTTTCAAACAATTTTTCATGTAAAAGGTTAATCACTCGTTCAAGTTACTTGGTTGGGTATTTAACTCATGTGAAGAAGTGTACTCATCATAGACGAATCTACTAAATTGATTTATCACTCGATCTTCATCATTACTCAAGAAAGATAGACTGAAAAAACGCTAAAAACCATACATATTTAGGAATACGGTTGGTCCTGATTAATGCAGATAATACCTAAATCATCTATCTTATTATTATAAGAATGGTACAATTAAATTAATTTGAACACAACTTCAAAAAAACAGATACCTTGAGACCCCCTACAAAGAATAAATCTACAAAATCATCGATATACAATTAGTCTTTTCGTGACAAAATAAACTCCAAAAATAATAAAACTGGATACGGTACAGTAAATACGATGATGTCAAATTAGCGAAAGTGGAAACGACTCACAATTACCTTACAAGTAACATTTGATTTTTTGAGTTTCAGAATTAGCTGAATTGCTATGGAGTATAAATTTTTTTCTTTGTAAGCTACGACAATATCCAAAAGCCAATCAGAATATTTTGTAATATTTTCATTTGTGTACGTTGATTCAACACGGGACTATATGCAATAAATAAAAAGAACATTTAAGGCTGGGGTGGAAAAAAGATGAGAATAAATAGCTCAGACAAGTGAATAATAAAATTAACTAAACAATGTCACTCAATAATCAAGTACAGGTTTATGTACTCAGTTTTGAGTCAAACATCCATGGATGCTGGTGATACATTTCGGGACACCAAATCTCAGCAGACGGAGCTGATTCCAAACTTGTGGTGTAGTAGTTGGAAGTTGTGTCAAAAACTAAGCAACCATTTTACTGTATCAATAATTGATGTTAACATTTTATTACATGACGTCTGTGCGTACATCGATCATTTAGCACGAGTATCCCAAAATATTGAGATGTCACTGGTAACTGTCAGTATTTTCTAAATTAAAATAATCTGTAGTTTGGTAAGATTACCGTCCTTAGCATTAAATGATTGTTTGAAGGATTCTTAAAATAGAATTCAGTCATAACAGAAATTACTTTTATGACATCTTACTAAATTTATAAAAACCACGAATAAGAATTACTTTTATTTAACTTTTAAGCCACTGAAATAGCTTGTGGAGGTTTTTATAATGTACATAATCTATTCAAGACTTTTGAGCAGTTGTGTTAAAGAATATTGGAGAAACACAATATATCAACTCACCACAACTAATGGGCCAAGTCCCAGATGTGCAAGAATAAGAAACAATTTCAACTGTAATTCAACAGCCATATTATCAGGGAATTCACATCTACATAAACAAATAAATAGATAAATTATATACGGTAACAAATAACTAGTGATGAGTCAACTTACCTTTTAAATTTCTCCACAGACGACAACTTCGATAAATGTCTGTCCATGTCAAATAAATCCCCAGAGTTTAAATACAATTTGACACCACAGAAGGAAGTGAAAAACTATAAATTTCAACAATGAAAAGTATTCCACATTTATTCTTTAAGAACTCAAAGGTTTATTAAAGTATTTACAGATATAGAAACAATGCAACTGATTACAGAGAAAACAACTAAGTCGATAAGGTAAAAAAGATCTTTGTTTATCTATGCGAGTTCAAAAAACTCGCACTACAATTCTATGCAATTAGTCCTCTTGATAAACTTTTGTAAAGTAACAACCACAAGCATCGTAGGACGGATGAAATAGATTGAGGGAGGGAGAAGATATAACGTAATGGAGTATAAGAAATATGTGCAAACTGTTATGATTACGATAGACAGAATGATGAAAATGACAGTAATTAATAAGAGACAATTTTAAAGTAATCACCATAGTGATAATAACAACACTGATAATGATAGCAATAGCTGCAGAGGATAGGAGAGTGTTATATCCAGATGACAGTAATGAATAGTAACTATTGGGATCTATTTATGGAACAATACTATACATACATTATAATTGTATATTTGTTAAGTAACTAAACTATGTATATTCAAATTCTTCTTAGCATAAGCTTTATTTTGACCCATAGACTATTACTATACAATTTGCCGTTCTTGAGTTATGCCCAGTCTATTAATTACAGTCTCCCACAATCACAACCACATTTGGCTAAATCTTGTACAAATGTTATTTTCTATTTTATGATGTGAAGTGATCTGTTTGGTTCGTATATAAACCTAGTATGTTTGAAATACGTGAATCATATCGTGGAGGCTGAGATTGGTGTTCTGGACTCAACAGGCAGGGCTAGGCCGGAAGAAGGACCGATAAGGACTCTAGATTGCTTGTACGGGTTTGTGGGTCATTGGTCCAGTCGATAATTCACCGTTCTCTCATTGGCGGTATCGTTACGTTATATATTAATAGGGCACAAGGTTAGTGGTTAAAACGGAGAGAACAGATTATTTAGAAGAGGAGTCAAACATCCCACTGAATAATGTTGAAATAATAGAACTAGTTGTAATGGAATTAAATTAAGAATAAACTTCAGGCCTAAAAAAGTCAAATTTTATATATTTCGAAGATGATTACTACTGAAGATAAGGTAGGAAATCATTTAAACGGTCACCATGAATGTCAGGTGAACCACAGGCTTTTTCCATACACAAATTGAGTAGAGACGACGGATGGCGGCTGCTTTTGAGTAAAGTGATAGTCCACTATTATTTTGCCTATTTATCACTTAGAAGACAGTAGTATAAGGGTTTACGGAATAACCAGTATCTAAAATATGTCTTCCTATGGTACTGCCGTGGTGTGGTCTACTTATATCCATATAAGTAGTATATGGTTATGGTCAGACATAGAATGTATTTTGGCAGAAGACCGATAAGAACTGAAATGAAGCGCAATTGGTAGGAAAATGCACGAACAATGAAATTAGAGATGATGAACTGATATTTACAGAAGGAACAGTGAAGATTGAGACAATTGCTTGTTATTTTGCAAATTAACTGTTCATTGTATGGTTATCAGAATTTAGTGAGATAGTTGAACACTAACATCATCTCCTTCGAATGGGAGTTTGGCTAACAGTGGTTTGATGCGGCATCTCAGGTGTATAAACAACTGCTTCATCTGAAAATGAACATTTGCTGATAAGTGACTATATTGATAAATAAACACACGCAATTGTTTTGAGTACACAAAAGAACACAGGGACAATAAAGATAAATTACTAAGCTAATCAAAATTGAAGTAAAGACCAGCGAAAACTGTCACACTCAATGAATATGTCATTAAAGGTTAAAGAAGATCAATCAACCAAACAAATGTAGAGTTCGTTGATAATAAATAAGAATTTTACGCTTTGCTACGGTATGTCTTTTTATATCAAAGTAGCGCTAAAATGGTAGCATATTCTTATTAAAGCAAATTATGATCTAACAGAAACAGTATTGTTAGAATTATTTCGAAATAACTCCACATTCCATCCTATTCGTTAACATGGACGTATATCTATGGTTTACTGTAGGATTTTCTAGAACCACCTATCCAGTTCCACATAAACATGAGACGCTCCAGAAAATATTTACTTGATAAAACGCATAATTGTTTTTTGCCTTCGACTTCTTTCTTCAAGAAATTTAACTAAAATCTCAAAAAGATTTATAATGGCAATATAAGCTACTTGTGTACTAACTGGAACATTTGATCAGTGTCAATATGAACCCTGATTAATTAACTTATTCTGATCTGTCATTTCAGCAAACCAATTTCTTAGGTGAGGTTCAACGCTAAGTAAATTGATATTAAATGGTATTAGTGATGTTTCATGCTAACAACTTTGACTATAAGGTTGAGCAACATAAGCTAGATTTTCTTCAGTTTCCATGAGTACGCAAATCTACATTGTGGAAGAATAATAATTAGTTAAACCCAGGTACACAACATCATTGACTAAGAAATATCAAAATTCTATCTCAAAAGTCTCAGCGACACTAAAATCCTTAAGTCAGAAATAGGAATGAGGCTCGATTATAAATATATTTAATTTATCAAGATAATGCTAAGTTTACCTTTAGAGCTTGATCATAACGTTTCATTTGAAGCATGATTGATAAGGCGGAATTTCGATCTTCATGTAAAAAAGAGAGTGAAATTTATTGAAGTCGATAACAGTCATAGAAAAAAACGCTTAGCCAGTAAATTATGATAAACTGCAATGACTTTTACACAACTTCTATGACGCTGAACTTCGAGCAGAAGCCCGATTCCATAAAAATCAAGACTAAACGGATCACTACTTTAAGTAAGAAGATTGATTCTCATTGAGACACTGGGAATAGTTCCATAGATCATAGTACTGAAACAGAAGTTTATTTACGTAAATGCGGTTAAGACAGAAGGCATGAACTGGACGGAAACCCGACTGCTTTTAATTTCTGTGTGAAATGATTATCAGCCCTGGGATTTAAAAATAAATGACAGTGAATTTCAAAATAAACTTTAGGGTTCTATTCACAATTACGGATAATTAAGTTCATTATTGATGATCAAAAGTAAATAAAGAAATTTATTCACAGCCACAGATCAGTAAATTTCGCTCATCATAATAAGTCAATAAACAAACACAGGTATTATGGAGACGTGAGAACAAAGAGAGCATTACAAAAGTTCAATACAACCATCCTTCCAAATACTGACAAATACAGCTAGTGTTGCAGCAGCCTCTACAGTAGTAGGTCCCAACATTCATAAGGAATTAAGCAAAATCCCTTACTATAATACAACGAGCAGCAACCCAATCACACTTGATGGAGAAGCGCCGGAAGAAATGGAAACTTATGCGTACCTGGGCAGCATCATCGATTAAGAGGAGGGTCTGATGCATATGTAAAGGCCAGGATTGGCAAAGCAAAGATAGCATTCCTACAATTGAAGAAAATATGGAACTCAAAACAACTGTCAAAGTGAGAATCTTCAATACGAACGTCAAGACAGTCCTACTGTACGGAGCTAAAATTTGGAGAACTACTACAACCATCATCAAAAAAGTACAGGTATTTATAAACAATTGTCTACGTGAACTATTTAGTGCCCATTGGTCGGTCGCCATCAGTAACAGCTTACTATGGGAGAGAGCAAACGAATTTCCATCCGAGGAGGAAATTAGGAAAGAACACTGGAGGTGGGTAGGACATACGTTGCAGAGTACATCAAACTGCATTACGAGGCCAGCCCTAACTTGCAGTCCTGAAGAAGATCGAAGAACACATCGTATCGTGAATTTAATGTAGACACCAAAAGGATGAATGGCAATTGGAAACAACTGGGAGAGAGAGCTCAGGACAGAGTTGGTCGAAGACCTATGCTTCACTGGGGGTAACAGGAGTAAGTTAGTGAGTGAGTAGTGAGGCAAAATGGTTTTTAAATAAGAACAAAACAGAGGATTAAAATTTGATACGTACCATTATCCGTCCCATGATCTGGGTATTGTTCAAAAGCATTTTCGTACGCTTTTACCGAGTTGTGTGGATCAAGTAGTTTGAAAAATTGCTATGAAAAAAATTACATTTTTGAATAAATCAAGTGAAAATGTAGCATTTGTTTAGGAATAGCTTATATATCCTTACAGGGTTTCTGAGTTACAGACCAGTCCAAAAACAGAATAAGAGTACTGAGGATACCTTACTTAACTGCATCATCTTCAGGTAAAGTCATAGTGACAACGTAAATCCCCAGTAATATCGTTAATTACCGAGTTACACCGATTGTCTTCAGCCCTCAGTACAAAACATAATCCACTATAGTATTATATCGTCCATTTTAGTGGAAATATTTTATGTAAGTTCTGCGGGTTACGCCATTTCGATAGTCGACTTTGTCAATGCACACAGTTTATTTTGGATATGAATCAAATGTTACTAACTGCAAATATTCTGTGAAGCAACTTATCAATATATTATATTTACAATAATAAATCTCAACTGTAACAGTGCGATATTATCAAAGTATTGTCCATTAAAAAGAAGTGAGGCTAAATTAATACTTGATCACAATTCAAACAGGTTAGGATAAAACTCAGTAAAACTTACATCGGCTAGCTCTCGAGCAACTTCAAATTGTTCCTCACCCGTAGACTCCGGGGTAACTGAAAGAGCGGCCAAACGTAACTGTAATGCCTCTCTGCTTCGACCAGCTACATGACATAAGTCAATAAGACGTTGGCGTAATGAGGTATCAGCTCGATTTCTTCGAAGGGCTAAAGTTGTAAAATAATAAAGAAACCCAAAGATGCATTTCCCCTCTACAATAAGAAATATTTGAAAAGTCCTATGGATAAGTACAAGTAGACTACTTTCGAACAAATCACCCAAAAATGCGTACCCTGTCGTGCATAGTGTATAGCAAGAGGGAAGTCCTCAGCCTCTTCAGCCCAGTCCATTAGAGTAAGCCAAGTATTTTGATCAGATGGGTTCCTCTGAGCAGCTTGATATAAAAACTGAAAAAGAATCACAATCAAAGAAGCGAATCAATTTGGAGAACAAAAACGTTGCAATCGATGTGCTCATTATAAGGGAACTAGTCGGAAACATAATATAGCTGTAAATTTTAGAATTTTGCAAATCACAGGTCGGGAAAACAACCAACTCCTTATTGCTATTACTTTTATTATAAATAAATGTTGAAGATCTCCCAGTGAATTCGTAATCAACAAAGTGCTAATTATTTTCCAACTATAACACGAACTGTTTAACTCGGTTAAACTCACTTCCTTGGCTTTTTCTTGGTTCCCACGACGGAAACTAATTTCGGCCAAAACAATATATGGTTGGGAAGCTTGGGGAGCTAAATACAAAAAAGAATAGCAATGTAAGCCGTCTAAGTATTGTGTCAGTAGGTAAAGGAGATAAAAGTAATAGTACCAGAAAACGTTTACGCAATGCATGTCATATTACATCACACTGTTGCCAGTTCAAGGAAAAGTTTTCAACAGAGTGTTACTGAACCGGATGAAAGACGCAGAAGACACCCGACTCCGAGATCAACAGGATGGATTCCATATGGATCGGTCGTGCATAGACCAAATTGCCACACTACGGATCATCGTCGAACAATCAGTTGAGTGGAACTCGTCACTACACATCAACTTCATTGACTATGAGAAGGCGTTTGGTAGTGTGGACAGGAGAACACTATGGAAATACTATGGAGTTCCTGAGAAGGTTATCAACATTATCTAGAAATCATACGACGAACTACAGTGCAAAGTGGTGCATGGAGGACAGCTGACAGATGCATTTCCAGTAAGGACCGGAGTCAGACAAAGCTGATTACTCTCCCCCTTTCTCTTTCTTCTTATGGTTGGCTGGATTATGAAAACCTCCACATCTGAGGGAAAGCACGGAATACAAAGGACAGCTCAGAATCAATTAGACGACTTGGGCTTCGCAGATGACCTAGCCTTCCTATCTCATACACACAAACAAATACAGACGAAGACGACTAGTGTAGCAGTAGCCTCTGCATCAATAGGCCTCAACATACACAAAGAAAAAAGCAAGATCCTCAAATACAACACGAAGAACGCCAAACCAATCACACTTGATGGAGAAACTCTGGAAGAAGTGGAAACATTCATGTACCTGGACAACGCCATCGAAAAACAAGGAGGATCTGGTACAGACGCAAAAGCACGGGTTGGCAAAACAAGGACAACATTCTCTCAATTAGAGAACATATGGAACTCAAAACAACTCTCAACCAATTTCAAGGTCAGAATCTTTAATACGAACGTCAAGACAGTTTTATTGTACGGAACTGAAACGTGGAGAACTACAACAACCATCTTCAAGAAGGTACAAGTATTTATAAACAGTTGTTTACGCAAAATACTCAACATTCACTGACCGGATACCATCAGCAATAGTCTTTTATGGGAGAGGACAAACCAGCTTCCATCTGAAGGGGAAATCAGGAAGACATCGAAAATGGATCGGACATACATTAAAGAAAGAACCAAACTGCATCACGAGACAAGCCCTAACTCAGAATCCGGAAGGGAAGCGGGAAAGAGGAAGGCTAAAGAACACATTACGCCGAGAAATAGCAGATATGAAAAGGATAAACAACTGGAAAAGATTTCCCAGGACAGAATTGAATGGAGAACGCTGGTGGGCGGCCTATGCTTCTCCACGAGGGGTAACAGGCGTAAGTAAATACGTATATCATATTAACTATGGACCGAGAGCATATAACTTCTTAATTTACAACATTTACTCAAGAATACGCTTGATATGGCTCATGAAAACTAGCTGTGAATTCAAGATTTACGACTTAATTAGATGTATCTACCAAATATTGTAAACAACGACTTTTAAGCTCTTTTCCTAACCAGTTCTATGCATGCGTACTGGATTAAGAAAGCACATTTACATTCTCGAGCCAAAACTGTTTATACAAAAACTTAACGGTGATAAAGGTGAAGAACGTCTTCCCTAAATCCTCATTTAAAAGCAAGGTACAACTCTAAAACAGCGATGGTCTCCAACAAAATATTGCTTTGACAGTTAAAGTTTAGTCTTTATGATGTTTAGAATTTTCATACTTATTAGTACTTTAAAAACTTTGATAACTGGGTCATATTTTATTCATACAGGAAAGCTGGTTTTACCGTTTAGCCAAAGTACCTTGAGAGATTAACATACTCAACAGTCACCCGTGTAGAAATCGCGCATCAAGAAATGTGCTGAGTTCAAAGCTTATACTTATACTATAAGCGGTGTTGACAGATTTATAAATGATCATTTTAAAAATAACATTCACGTGTATTAACAGAGATTATTTCATACACACCAACCTCACTATCGGATATTTCAAACACTAGATAGCACCAGTTAACTTCAACCTACTTCTTGAAACTCACAAACTACAAGACCTGTTAAGTGGAAAATAATAAAGTGTATTCTTTTTTAGGTAACGGATTCTGTATAAACACCAACTGATAGATTTACCTGTGTCAATGATCTGATAGCAAATACGTTCAGCGTGTTCAAATTCATCATTGTTCAAATGTCTCTCAGCTTCTCCAAGATATTGCGCTAACTCAATTGGTAAGCGAGCACGTTTAGACTATTAAGTTTCATAGAGGTTAATTTTTTTAGAACAGATAAAAGTTACAATAAGAGGTCCTCTTAATTTCAGTTTTTTCTTTCCAACTGTATCAGGATTTTGTCGTCTTTTAGATCTTCTAGGTCCTAAAACAAATATTCTTTTAGTAATCTTTTTTCCTGAAAATATCACGTCAGTTAAAATGTCTAGAATGGCAATAATTTTATTCAAATATATCAATAAAAGCAAATTATTCGGCTGTAGTCTGGCTATATTTTTTTCGAAATAGCTATTTTATTACATACGGCGAAACATTCTAAGATTGAGAATTACATTATTGATAGATAAGCAAAGTGGATATGACCGGCATTTAGTCAGTCATTGTAAAAGTGGTTTGTGCTATAACATAGAAGAAAACGTTTTAGTCAAAATGAAATATAATCAAACAAAAGTGGGAACAAATAAGCCAGTCAATGGAAAAAGGTTAATAGAAACGATCATCGACGAGTTTCGTTCGTGGAGGTATATGGATGATACTTGCGTTATCAGTAATGGTAAATGTGCTTTGAATTATATTTCCTAGACCTTAAACAGCCATCTGCCAAGACATTTACTCCTGGAATGGAAAAAATATTAAACATTGGCTTCCTTAATGTCAAAATGATGAGAAAACCTGAGGACTCTGAGGACACGTTTACATAAAATATTCACCTGATGCAGTCAGTCAGTCAGCGACAACGTAGGACCAGGCACATATATGCATCGGTCCAAGTTGCCATACCTCGTTAGCACAACAAGATCAACACCGGATTCATAGAAGTAATTAATTTAGTGGTGGTAGTATATAAAGAAAGGTTGTATATAAGGATATAGTATAGGAAGGAAAAAAGTTATGAAGCAATTTTAATCTCAAGGTTTAAGGGAAGATAAAGAGTGCATACACCTACGCCATTGTGATCGATTCTGAGCCATGTCATCCAGAGTTTCCAACCATTGGTTACGATAGTCACACGGACCCCAACCAGGTAGTCTGCATTTACTAACACGGCTCAGACTAGAAGTTAGTGACTTCAAGCACTGATGCCATGTTTTGGATTAACTTGATGCCCAACTAACAAGCTTCTGCGGGTGAATCCCTATTGGTAGAAAGAGGAACTGGACTGTCAATCTCCCACACACATGCACATAAGATGGATTTACAGACCCAACTTCGTATATGAAGAACTAAATCTGGAAAAAATCTTTATCAGGCATGGATATCCACTAACATATGTTGACCAGAATATAAAGTTCAAACTTTAAAAATTAACAACCACTGTGCCAAAGATGGACATCGATTTCAATGGTGACAAAGCTCTAGGCATCTCGTAGAGAATCGTCAACTCTGTCAAAAATACGTTTTTTGCATCAACTTCGAGGTTGGCTTGTATTTAATGATAATCTAAAGAATAAGCTTTCACATCCGACCACTTGCATGTATATTTGTAAATTCACTTGCTTCTGTGTTGCTACACATATCGGGCATTCAATGGACATTCTAAATAAGAGGATTCGAAAAGATTATCCCCGATGGATAAAAAGGAGTAGTAATCAACCAACGAAGACCTAAACCATTTAAAATCTTGTGAATACTCGTCACTCGACTAAAGACACACAGCTCAAAGTCATATATACGGTGGATAAAAAAACAGACAAAAGCAGTGAGCTTCCATTTTCTAAGGATTGTTGAAGCCTTTCCTATATATTTGGATGAGCCATAACTATGTATCCAGAAGAAACTTACTCGACCTCTTTTACTGTCACAGTCTTTACCTTTAATTTCCCAGTCATCGCCCTTTCGTTATATACAGTAATGAGTCTTGTGCATAGCAGTATAAAAACAACTCATCGGCTCAGGTTGCAAAACTTATGAATACTGAAATTACAAACAATAAGACGGGTGTTGTTTACCAAATTGAGAGGTCAGTCAGTTAGTCAGTCACAACGTAGAACTTCGTACATACGTACATCAGTTCGAGTTGCTATACCACAATAGCACAGAGATACAACTGTCGATTCAAATACCATAGTGGTAGAAGTAGTAAGAGTATGAGCATTATGTGAAAAATTAGGGTTCGAAGATGTTATTGAACGAGTATAATAGTGAAATAAATTTGGAAAGAGAAAAAGGATAGGGACATGAGGAATTCAGAAGATTAGAATTTGGGAGAACACAAAGAGTGGATGCACCTTCGTCATTGCAAACGATTTTGAGCCATGTCATTCAAGGTCTCTAACCATCGGTTGCTATCATCTCGCGAATCCCAACCAGGTAGTCTACACCTACCAACATGGCTCAGTCCACTTGTCAGCGACTTCATGGATTTATGCCACGTTTTGGTCTGGCCGCCCATAGCTTTCTTCCAACATACTCCTACACCATGAAACATTGTACGTCGGGGCAGTCGGTGGTTGGGCATACGTAACACGTGTCCCAGCTATCTCAACTGATGAAGTTTCACTACTCCATCAATCGATTTGCCATCCTTACCTAGTACCCGTTTCCTAACAACTGCATTACTTACCCGGTGGTTCCAGGATATACGAGCAATGCTTCGAAGACACCTGGTAAAAGTTCAACTCCTGGAGATTGAGATGATGAAAGTGTTATTTCTAATAGCACGTCAACGACAAAGTTAAACAAGAATGGAGAGTGGACAGCCCTGACGAACACCACTTCAGGTAATCAATTCTGATGACAGTTCGCCATAGGCTCTAACTCGACCAGTTGTGTTTGAGTAGAGAGTCTTTATCAAGTTAATGTACTTCTTTGGTACTCCTTTCAGTGACAAACACTGTCATAGAACCTCACGATCAACGGAGTCGAATGCCGCCTTAAGGTCAAGAAATACTACGATTGTGGGATGTCTGAATGTATGTCTATGTTCTAGGACCTGACGTAAAGTGAATATCGGGTCTATGCAACCATGTCCAGGGCAAAGACCAGCCTGGTTTTCTCTAGTCTGCTCTTCACGAGCTTTGGTTAGGCGTCCAAGTATTATTGAAGCTAATATTTTAGACACTATATTAGTCAAACTGATTCCTCTGTGATTGTCACAAGAGGACTTTTGTCCTTTCTTATAGACTGGCACAATCAGTGATTGGGACCAGTCAGATAGAATTACGTCCAGTTCCCAGATTCTACCTAAGACTTCAGTCAATCTCGCTGCTAGTACTGGACCGCCAACCTTAAAATTTTCAGGGGTAAACCTGTCAGAGCCTGCTGCTCTCGCTCGCTTCAGATTTCCTATAGCTTTTTCAACCTCGTAGAGAGTTGGAGGACTTACATCAATTTGCCATTCAGGACGACTGGGGATCGTGGGTAATTGAAGAGTGGCTGAAGGCCATTTGAACTGATCCCTAAAGTGTTTTTCCCATCGATCCGATCTCCCAGATTGAGAATGAATGATATGTCCATCTTTATCTGAGATAGTTTCACTGATATTTGGGTTCCTTATACCGGTTTCCTTGACAAGTCTGAATAGCTGTCTGCTGTTACCTATTGCCGCTGCACGAAATTGAGAGGACGAAAGGTGAATGTCTGGCGCTTTAAGCAGGTTGGTGGACACTGAGAGCCCAACTAGAGGAGTTGAGAAACCGTGATTCCAAACCAATTGTGCACCCGGGCTTCAGGATACTGAAGGAACAAATAGCATATAAACCAATTGTTGGTCACCGACTACTATGGGACTGCATTTTCTGATGACGCTCCACTACCTTGTGGATCAGACCTTTAGGTCGAAGGCTCCGGGTGTGGCCCCCTAAGAAAAGCACCTGCTTTGATCTGGGCACCCGGGCAGTATCCCAGCCCACGCACAAATCAAGTGACTTGTGTGACACAGATGTATTCGATGCCCTTCTGTACCAATATGTGTTCAAATAAATAAATAAAAAGCATCTTGTATTTTGAGCACCGTAAATATAAAGTGCATTCAGATAGTTGCAATTAACTTCAAGCCACTACTGAGAATTTTTAACCAAAGGCTAGACAAGCACAGTGGAAAATCTGAATGACTCTTAAAACATAAATAATAACATAAAGGTAGTAATGCAAAGTTGGTGACCTTGAAAGTTCAATACGAAGTGGCTGAGTTAGGAATAATCGTTTTAGGTTGTTGGTCAGTAGGTTTGAAACTTTTCTGCTCCAAATTTTGATTCAGTCAGGAATTAAGTGGACAGCCGCAGTCAGTAGCTAAGGACTTTGGGTGATATGACCTAGAATCGGTCATAATGGAACAAATATACTTTCTCTTTATCTTCCTCCAGATTTTGAATTTCAGTACTCATCCATATACCTTCCCACTCTGAGCTTTAGAATAATAATTCCTTTGCTTATTCTATTGCATTACCACTGTTGCATGATTTCGGTCTTTTTGTTTCTCCGTTTCATTCGTTTTATTTGTTCCTCCCAGTGTTGTGTGGCAGATAGGGCCAACAGGCGTTTGTCCCAAGCTCTAGGTTTGTATAGACTGGATACTATTGTTGCTGGGGCAATTAACACAAAGTATTAAATCACTTCTGTATAAGTTTAAGTTTGCTTTGAAATTGACAATTTTCCAGAACTAATTCTTCATGGTTATAGGATGCACCTATTCTGATATTACGCGTCTCGATTATGTATAAGGTTCCGAGGGTGTGTTCAGCTTTGAGACATTTACAGTATTGCGTCATCACTTAAAGTCAGATTATATTGTGAATAAGCGGTTCCAAACAAGCGAATATTGAGACCGATTGTTAATATATCCTCACGGTTTCTGTGTATAATATAATTAGCGTATATTTGTGGTAAAATGAACCAAAAATCATAAGTAAACTTACGTGTAGTATATTCAGAATCATCGTTTTTGCTAGAACAATCTGAATCACTACTGCGGCAAGAATCATTGTTCAGAGTAGTAGAGTGGTGCATTTCACGCATTAAATCATCAAAACTGATAACCCCATTCAAATATCGTGAATAAAGAGTTTCATCAGTTACGAGACCATTAAGAAACGAAGAGATATATGTTGAGTCATCTGCTTCCGAAATATAACCACAACTAGAATCCAATTCCTACCGATGAAAAATCTAGCCGAACTCTAGATAAAACATACATTTAGATCGATGACTTCGAAGTCTTGAGCCAATTCCAATTCACCACCGATACTCCACTCATCCCCACTGTGTACCGCGTTCATTTAGGATAAAAGGATTTACTATACAAAAAGAAGAAAAAGTTATAATGATGTGTATAATATGAATTATGCATAGCAAATGATGTTGTGACATCATTCTCATTGCAACTAGTACGTATGTTGTGGATAAAGAACGCTATCTCTCTCCTACCGACATTGTAGATATGAACCTGCAGAACAATGCCTAACCAGATGATAACTTTAGTAGTTGAATTCATGAGTCGATCTAAGCTAGACCACCGTTGAATACCTGGGAGCACTGGACGGCTGTTTGATCCTAGCATGGGGCTTCTCAGAAGTACTTATTAACGATCCCGCGTGCAGGACCTAGGACCTTCGGTGTCACGAGCGAAAGCTTAACCTCTAGATCGTTCAGTTGGCATCCAACGGTATTTATGCCAAACCTCAATAGATTCACGGTCTTGCAACCATTCATCGTGAGTGCGCACCGCTGAGGAGTTTCTTGCTAGGACAAAACGGCCATCCAGTGCCTCTAGGTCTTCAACGGCGGTCTAGTTCAGATCAAGTCATGAATTCATAATCCCCCATTCAGATGATAATTGTCTGATCCTTAAGTGCAGAGTCATCCACTACTGAGTTGAAAATACATATTCCTTTCGTGTAGATAATTTAAAGACTGTAAAGAATGTTATGGTTTTGTTTAATAAATTGACTGGTTACCATGCCAGTAGTTTTACGGACGAAAACACCTTGCCACTAAACTCAAAAAAGCTTAGGTAGGTACAGTAATTCTGTTAATGTTTTGTGGAGGTGCATTGAGACGGAAAGAATGGTTTCTTTATAATTCCGTTGACACAGATGTGGTTAAAATGAAGGCTGGAAACAGTCAGGCTCAATACCCTATATTCAGGTCATTGGACACTATCGTCTCATCATTTTCGAAGCAGGCTTGTATTACTTCAAAATGTTAATCAATTAGTTAGACGCAATTGAATGTTTCACCCTCCAAATCCCAGTCGAAGCATGTGGGAAGTGCATTAGAGGCTAAGCAAGTCACGGCTTCGATTTAAGTTAAAGCTTAAGATTCGATAAACTACATGAGGTTCAACGGCTATATCAAATGGTTCAAATGGTTGAGGACGGAATAGAAGAAGCTTTCGCTTAACGGGCTTCCGTGTCTGGTAGCAGTGGATCACCAATACCTCCAGGCAAAAACCTAGGTATATGAACGATAATAGAGGAAAAAAAATTGGTAAATCATAATAATATGTTATCCTTAGTCCTTAAGAATAAGTTAAGTTTCCTCTTAAAGAACTCCTGGGAGGTCGCTTGGACTAGCTCAGTCGGCAGCGAATTCCAGCACTTGACAACTCTAACGGAGTAGAAGTTGTGTCTGCAGTCTGTTCTGCTATGTAGGGTCTCCAATTTCTGGGTGTTACCTCTTAGGTTAGTGTTATGACTAAGCTTAAGAAGATGTTTAAGGGGATGACCAGAAGTATTAGGGATACTGTAAGTCATAAGATCACCTCTAAGACGCCTGTACTCTAACGGGTAAAGGTTAAGTGATTTGAGGCGCTCTTTATAAGGTTTGAATTTGAGTCCCCGAACTGATTTCGTGGCTCGACGTTGTATACGATCCAGAGTGTCCTTATCCTTTTGGAGGGAGGGAGGAAATACTATGTTTCCATACTCTAAATGGGGACGAATAAAACTGTTGAAGATTATATGGAAGGTTCTACCGTCAAACTGGCCAAAAATGCGCTTCAATGTTACCAGTGCAAGGTTTGCTTGAGAGGCGTTTTTGTCACAGTTCGCATACGATTTCAGGTCGTAGGGTACCAACACTCCTAAATCTTTTTCAACTTGGGAAACTTCTAGAGGGGAGTTACCTAAGTTATAACTATAATCTGCAACATGTCTCAGATGGACTACCTTGCACTTTGAAGTGTTGAAGGTAAGTCCGTTGTCGTCTGCCCAACTTTGAAGTCGGGTCAGATCCTCCTGAAGAATTAGTATATCATTATGATTACGTATCTCTCTCCAAAGTTTCACATCATCAGCAAGAAACAAGAAGTCAGATGAAACTTGTTGAGGAAGATCGTTAATATAAATCAAGAAGAGAAGAGGTCCTAGTATTGAGCCCTGGGGGACCCCACTAGGACATTCCATAGCCTGAGAGAGAGTGAAGTTAACCCTGACCTTAAAGTGTCGGTTTTCTAAATATGAAGAGAGCCAATAAATCAAAAGGGGGTTTTATACCCGATCGTCCAAGCTTCTTTATAAGACATGCGTGGTTGACCCTATCAAAAGCTTTTGAGAAGTCCAGGTAGATGACGTCAATCTTCCCCTTGCGATCAAGGATGGTTGTCCATCTATCCACTGCAGTCAGCAGGTTGGTCATACAAGAATGACCTTTTCTGAAACCATGTTGTTGAGGTGAGAAGAACTTTGAGGATGATAAGTATTCTTGTATACCGTCGTATATTAGGGATTCCATAATTTTGGAAGGTATGGAGAGAAGGGCCAGTGGTCGGTAGCTTGAAGGTTCACCGCGTCGACCTTCTTTGAAAATTGGTGTGATGTGGGCCAGCTTCCATATTTCCGGTAGTTTGCCTCTGCTTAGCGAGTGTGCAAACATCACGCTAAGTGGTGTCGCCAGGATTGAAGCTGCTTCCCTTAATACAGCGGAATGAACCATATCCGGACCAGGAAACTGTCTTTTCTTAGGTGCTGCAGTTTACGGAGCACCAGGTCAGCACTCAGGTCCACTTCGGAAAGTCCTGTACAGGTGCAGGTGAAGCTTTCGTCAGTATGGTTGATGTGGGTCAGCTGGAATGTCCGGGAGTAATGTTCAGCCAAAAGGTTAGCGGCATCACTGTCGTTATTGGTCAGGCCATTAGGACCAAGCAGTTGGGAAACTCCAGTTTTGCCTTGTCGAAGAGAAGCTGCATAACTGAACAAGCTTTTCGGATTGGAGACGAATCTATCGATAAGCTTGGTCTGGAACTGAAGCCTGTCTTCTCTTATTGCCTTTGAACATATGTTCCTTATGCGTTTATATTGCCTGCATGCGTCGTTATTGTCGGTTCGTTTGTATTCGACCCAACAGTGCCTTTTGCGGCTTAGCAAACGACAAGTGTGGTTCTTGATGATTGGAGGTTGTCTGTAGCTTTTTGGGACCATTTTAAAAACTGAATGCTCAGTAGCACATAAGATCGTGTGCAGTAAAAAATCCCAATGAGCATCCACTTCAAGTTGAGGGTGAACATCCCAATCCACCTGTTGTAGATAGTCCTGTAAAGCTAACACACTCAACCGTTTGAAGTTCCAGCGCTTGTTGCTAGTAGGATATCGTAGCTCCGTTTTGCTGACAAAGCTGAATGATAGGACGGCGTGATCACTTTTCCCCAGGGAAGCCAGGATTGAGAGGTTGTCAACTAGGAATTCTTCATTTGTGAATACCCAGTCTAAGCGCGACGGCGTCTGACTGTTTCTCCAACAGGTTGTCGACTTCACATTTTCGAATAATCCCAGGTCACCGATAAGGTTGAAGAACAGAGCTTCAGTAGAGTTGGCACCACCAATGTATGTTCCACGAAGTTGATTCTAGGAAGATTGAAGTCCCCTAGAATCAGGATATGAATCCGAGACGCGTAGAGCGAGTTAATCCTTCCAGCAGACGCTTGTCATACTCGATGTCGGCTTCCTGTAAATGACCCCAACTAGATACCTCGAGGTGGTAGACACTCTTACTGAGCACCATACTGACTCGTCAAGATTGTGAAACTCTTGGTTGTGAAGTTGGTGCGCATCCAGGCATGACCGTATGTTTAGTGCTACCCCACCCCCCATTCCTGTTTTTCTGTCGTTGCGAAATAAAGACATCCCAGTTATTGCTAACTCCTGGTCCGTAAACTGAGACGTTATCCAAGTTTCGGATATTCCTATCAGATGGGCATCATTAGCGTTGCTAAGTTCACGTAGCTCGTCCATTTTGTTTGGCAAGCTCGCGGCGTTCGTGTATAGACAGTTTATGCTTTCAATTTGGAATGCGTTAGCTTCTTCCTGTTTGTCTATATGAGCCGTGTGTGAGTGGAAAGGTAGCCTACCTATACGATGTTTACCGAGTTGGTAGTCCCTATCCTTTACACGTTTTTTTTATGATCAAGACAGTCCACGAGTGGAATTGTCAGCTCCAGCTTTCGTTTGTGTTTGATCCTGCTGTCGAGAGACCTATCCGGATGCATATGGATGCCAGTTGGCAACCGACGTTTATTGGCACGAAATGATTCCAGAGTTGCAGCCGCCATGTGGGAGGAGGGGAAGGTTATCTTCAACAGCCGGGGCCTAGAGTCTCCGTCTCTCTTGGCTAGTCGCATTACCTGTTGGGTCAATATGTTTTTGAGTTTTAAGGAATGCTTAATGAATTTCCATTCCCGAATATCAGAGTTTGCTTGAGTTGGGTCCATATTTTCCGGCACACCTTGCACAATGATATTTCGTCCACGGAAAAACGCCTCGCGAGATTCCTTAGGGATGTTCCGGATGAGATTTCGTTCAGAATACGGTATGTCGGGCAGTATTCTTACGTTCCCATCGGAGTTCAGTAAGTGACTGGCTAGCAGGACGTCCTCTACATCGGAGGCATTCTTAAGTGTAACACGAAGCAGCCTTGGGTGGTTAGAGTCCTTCCCCCGAGTGAGCCGTGTGGCGGTCAAAGGCTCTATTCTAGGGAATTCAAGCCTCTTGTTTAATTCTCCCCAGAGCATCCTATCATTTTTGTCCTGCAAACTGAGAGGAAGGTCGGGGTTGTCAATAAGGTTCATGATTATGACAGAGTCGTCACGAACCGTAAATGATTTCCCAGGTTTTCCAGGGCGTCTAAGTTTGGTACCTTCTTGTTTGGATGTCGAAGCGCGTTTTTCGATTCATGGGCTCTGTGTTGACCGGGCAGACAGTCTTGAGGGTAGACTGTGCGGCAAAAGCATCAATTGATTTCCGCACGGTACTTGGGACGTTCAGTTTCGGCGGGGACGCTTGGGCTTTATTACTCCTGTTAACGTGAGTCCAACCACCTACAGGATTTTTGGGAACCACTGTCTCATTCAAGGACTGTTCCCTGGGGGACCCAAGTTTACTGAGGGAGTAACATGGTGGTTGGAAGTGGTCAACAGGAAACCCTGGACCCGGGTTTCGTGCTACTTGGCACTCGTCAGCAAGGTGTACCTGTAATCTTGAGGGAACTGATGCTCCCTGGCGGATTCGATCCCGTGCCACTCAGCTTCACAGTCGATCGATAACATTCGATCAGCACTAGGGACCTAACACGCATGAGATTGATCACCACCCAGTGATCAATCAATTGTGATTACTGAGGGAGTCGATGACAGTCGATGTTAAGATGGTGCTGAGTTTCAGCACATCATCACTCGTGCTGTTAACAGCACCGTCGATAACCGACCTGTCAGTATCCTTTTTCTTATTTGCCCTATGCGTTCCAGCTTTGTTACCCGTCATGATGCTATCATTTACCAAATTCTTAGACAACTTATCTCTCAGACATGTTAGTAAAGTAATGATGGTACCCAACATAACTACCGTATCAATGTTGCAGGTAACACATACTCACCTACGATCAGACTTGCTGAGTCTGCTATAGGCTGCTGCTGTTAGATCTGTAGAGGTCTCGTGGAACCAACCTTTGCAGTTGTCACATTGCATGTCAGATGTAACAGCGAAACGGCAACCAGGTCTTTTGCATGAATTTTTCAGGGCTAGTGATTTAGACTGTCTTAAAAATACAAGCAGTAACTTTATGACCGTTAAAAAACACACAGTAAACAAAAACTGGCAAAAATGTATAGAAACAGTTAACGATAAGCTAAAGCTAGTCTTTACGTGAAAACTATAAAAAAAACCGGTAGTGAGCTGAGGCAAAACCACAGTTAACTATTAATTTGAGTGAAACACACAAAAAAGTGATCTACCGAACGTATAGCTCAGAATAGATTCTTTAGATCGGAAATGGTACTTTTGTTGCGTAAGAACACAGCAAAAGTTTGAGAAATGTAAATCATGTTAGGACTAAACTTCCGTTCGAAAAGCGCGCTTTCAGGGTCAGACCTTCGTACGAAAATTATTCAGCTGATTTATAAGTGTGATGGACTTGAACACACTAAAAGACACGGAACTCAAAAATCAATTTTGCAGTTTCCTTTGTCATCTGAAGAAGAACTGCGGACGTTCGATGCATGTCTTCAAAAGGATCAGACTATTGCTTTATATTCCAGATGGTCATTGTGAACCGGTTAGTGGATAATCCTAGAACGTCCATGTGTTATATTTTGTCATACATAATGACAACTTAGGTGGTCAGCCATTTAACACTACTTGATACTTCATCCAGAAAAGCGTCTCAGAATCAGTTTTATAGCAGCATACGAAGTAAAATGTTTTTTTCTAATCACTACGTGCAACAACATCGCGGTTTTAATCGTCATCCGTTAAAGAAAAAGAACTTACCAGACCATGTGACATTATGATGCAAGAGTACTCTCACATGGAGATTATTTTGATTCAGAATAGTAACGTAGTAGTTTAAGAAAAGCGCTACAGTTGAATATATTTTTGTGCTCAACTTAATTTGCAACTAAGTTTCTTCCTACCATGCGTTGTAGACGCCTGAACTTATAAAAAGGAAGAAACGTAACGATAGTTCTCGGAGCATTAGTTTGTTACTAATGTAATTGTAAACTATGTTGTTATTTCTTGTTAATTTATGTCTTTAACAGTGTATCGTTTTCTAATGCAATCGACTGCAGTCATCGTGTTTTGTAATGAAAGTTAGGGCGGTTATAAAATACATTTTGAGTTAGGCAAAAGGTAGACAATTAAGCATGTAATTGAAAGAAAGTTGAACAATTTAACAACATTTTTAATATAGAGCAACACGGCAATCTGTTCAGAAACTAGAAGACATGCTACTGTGGAGGAGCACTAAGTGATGAGATAAGCCATCAAATGCCCCCCATAGCAAGGTGATAGGACTAGGCAATAAACCAGGAGAAGTCAGGAACATGAGCTTTCACTTGGATCTGAAGATGTTAGTCTGTTGTGGCACTGAACTACAACCACTCGACCTTTGAAGCGGAGCATAAAGTTGTTGAAAAGGTTTACATTCAACAATTGACACGAAGAGAAGTTTAACAATGGAGAATGTGGAAGTAATAAATTCATTGAGACGGATTGCAAGGCTCAGCCCTGCAGGCGTGGTCATTCTGTATAACTCGTCTTTACTCACATTAAATATATTATTCCATCCTGAGCCAGACGTTGCGGAAATTCTACTGCTAATTGTTACAACACTATGAGTCAGTGTAGACAATGACGTGACTTCTACGTAAGAACTTATAGATTAGGAAGTCACATCACGACATCTTTAGAATTTTAGGATTAGGCCTATCATTACGATAGTGCTAATAAAAGAGTGGACCTTGAGTGCCAACTGATACATGGCTACCAACCGAGATAAATGATGAAATTGAATGGAAGACATGATGTGTTTTAGATACGTAAGGATACACAAAACACGAGTGACGATTCGCGTTAGCAGTTACTTCAAAGTCAGAATATACCATCCATCCACGTGTTCTAACACGTGAGAATATGTGAGTATACAGGCAATACAAAGGCTAACGTACCTGTATGTTGATCAAATATTTCTCTCTAGGGACTCCAACACTTAATTGTCAGAAGCCTTACGGGAAGAATTCAAAAGCGGTTTGTCACAGCCATCAGTTCAGACTGACTAAACATGTGGGTCGCGCCACGACATGAAAGTGACGGAAAACTTTCAACCTAGGATTATTTACTCACAAATGATTAGCTTCGAGTCAGGGATGTCCGTATCCACTTATCAGTGGGAAGCAATAGTTGCGGTAAGATAATGTTTAACGTGGTCACAAACGTAACATATTAGAAGGGCGAGAACAGTAATCACCTTAGCTGCACTGGAGGAGACTACATGACGATGAGTGAATGTCTTCAAAATGCCTTATGGCCACGAGAGTGGTGAAGGCTAACAGTAAATGACTACTAGGGGATAGTGGGGGACATCATTCAGAATATTGTCCTCAAGATAAGCATGCTTTCGGAAAGCGAAGATCCTGAGTTAAGCGAAGGACGGATCGCTTGCTGGAGACCGTGAAACAAGTTGAAAGTCGCTCTAAAAATACGAATGATAGCTGTTACTTGGGATCGAGAAACAAATGCTGTCTGAAAGTCCTCAGAAATAAAAGATGTTTTCAAACCATGCTAGCAGCCAAAGTGCTAGCTAATTTTAAATACCTCTCTTCATACTCACTACCAGGAGAAGCCTAAAAACCTGGAGATCTGTACTCTTGATAGGCTAAATGGCAAAGATCCCACTAGTTTGTAGATGCAGATACCTTTGATGCCAACCTCGTAGATCAAATTAAGTAGGAGCCCGTAACTGCAGTACACCTCTCAACTCTAGTGCAAGGTGAAGGTCTGGGCGACACTCAACTAATCCCTTGATCAGTAATAAAGGGGTTAAAATCCGTGTTCGCAGGAAGGTCACCAGGATGTGACGTCGTTCGACCTATAATTCTAAAATAATGCACTGTAGCCATCAGCACACCAATGTGTGACCTATTCTGGCAATCACTAGACATACATGGGCTCCAAAGAGTGTGGATGCATAGCACTCCAGTCTACATTCGGGTGAGACAGAAAAGACATAGCTCGTTACAGACCAGTTAGATTACTCTAATCACTGTCAAAGGTAGTGGTAGGACCGGCCAATGAACGAAAGAATAATTTGGAAGTTAAAAACGACATCCTCTGTGAAGCACAACACCAATTCAGGAAAGACAGGTCCTTTGTGTCCAGTATACTTATAGTATGGAAACGCTGGGTGACCTGATGGGACCATAAGATATTGGTCCATTTAATATTCTCAGGCTTTGCAAAAGCCTTTGATACAATACCACATGTGCTTCTCGTAGTAAAGGCTGCAAAGATGGATTTCACTGAAATACCTCATTGTGGCTCTGAAACTACCAAGGTAAATAGAGTGCTTGTATGTTGAATGACCTTGATATCAGGAGTTTTGCAAAATGATTTTAGGTCCTCTTCTGTCCTTGACCTTTATTAGTGACCTATTAGACAAAATTAGCCAGGTGGCACTGATCTATGCAAACGGTACAAAGATCTTCAGTTCTATGAAGACTTAAAATTATTCACCTGGGCTTCAAAAGAACATAACGACAGTTGAGCGATAGGTAGTTGACATTGAGTTGAAACTAAACCTATCAAAGTATCATGTCATGAACATTCTTTCTCATTTTGTTCAAAGCACATACACCCTCGATGGAAATCTGCTTCTAATTGTCTCTTCAAAGAGTGATCTTGGGCTTGCAACCACGGAGATACTAGACATGTGTTCCAACTACACGAGAGATGAAGCCAAGGCAATTTAAAATCTGAAATTTATGCAGAGACAACTTGGCACAATCCCCCTAGAGTTATCTCTCAAACTATTGAAAACATATTCACGACCTTATTTTGAAATCCACGCCGTTACGATCTCTTTCTTCAGATCAAATACAGAAATGGTCAACTGAGTAATAGGGCTGAAACGTATATCTAAAGAGGACGGACTCCAAAATTTGAAACTATCCTTGTTAAGCTACAGGAGAATAAGCGGCAGTCAGATAAAGGCATCTGACACATTAAGTACACCAAGTCATCCCAACATGAACAAATTACCAGGGCATCACCACCACGCTCTTCGAGGCAACACTCGAAAAATTGCACATCAAAGAGCAAGCACCCGGGTGCGCGCTGATTTATCCCCTTTAAGAGTTGTTTTCACTTGGATCGCTCTCCCAACCAAAGTGATCATAGCGACATCGGTGGATAGCTTCAAGAAGAGACTTTACAAACACGTACTCACCCATGGATTACCATTCCTCCCTGATGCATGTCTCACAATTTGCCACATTACCAATTAGTTTACTTATCCATTCATTCCTGTAACCATCGTCTCCTAGTAGCATTTGAGTTGTCATTCAACTATTTCCACATCGCAACCAACCAAACTCCTACCTTGTAATGTGATGGCTGCTGGCATCCAGAAACCCTACTACCCTGAGACAAACGCACCCACTCCAGCTACAAGATATACAAATTCAAAAATAACTACCAAAGCGACTAGAATCAGTGCAGTCGATTGACCAGACTAACATTCATTGGACATCATCGAATTTTTGGAAATGTATCAAAACAGCAGAAAGCGAGCTTGAGCAACGTAATCTTTTTTACGTTCCCCTAGATAAGTTATTGGATATTGGCCGCCTTGACAACATTTTTGAACGATGTATTAGTTGTTGCTTTCAGATAATTTTCACTTCACAATGACAATGAGAATGAAATCGACGAGGGCATTAAGCGCGAGCAGTATTCCGGCCTATGCCATGATACGTCAATTTTATACTGAACTATCTCCAGATAAACCGTAAGTGATCATGAACTAGTGATTTGGATAATTATGATGCAAAAGTGGTACTTTCATTTACCTTTATATGTTCTCTGAAAGCTAAAACCAAAATCCACAAATTTATTCATATATATAGAAAATATTCAGCCGTCTAAGCAGTTCTCATCACATATTCTACTACTACAATATTGTATATAAAGTATACTGTAATTTGAAAATTACTATATATGTGCTTAATTAAGCAAAACTAAATCCGTTTTCGCTTTTTAGCTTAAAAGTTTTTGATCAACAAATGAATTTTGAAGATTTATTATTGGAAATGAATACGTTTATATGTTAACTAGAGACCAACAAACAGTAATCATTAAGTAAACCTTTCACGACTCACAAGATATTAAACTACTAAATAAAAACATACATTTTAACAACATATTTTTTCATAGAACATACAACTGGGTCAATTCCATTTGAAGTTTAGTTTGTAAAGCACTGATGAAAAAATTGTAGAGCTTAATAAAAACAACATGTGTGACTCCTAAAACTCGACTTGGTCCTTCTGTAGACGATGCATGGTATAAAGTCCGGCCTCTAACGGTATATTTTACAGAACCTATTGATTTCTAATAGAATGATACTTTGGCAATGTGTTATGTAAATAAGAGAATTATTAGTACTAAAGCTTTGTGTTCCTGGTTGTTCTGTTGTGTTATGCTTCTATGTATTTTTAAAGTTATTACCATGTTATCTAACAAGAGTATTTTAACCACCTTATAGTTTGAGTTATATATGGTTGAGATTCACAATCAAGTAAAAACTACAAGTTTCAACCAATTAACATTAGTTTAATCCAGACGCTAAGAAATGATGCAAGAAATCCATTTTACCTGCTTCACCAAATACTTAGCTCATCATATCAGTAAATAAAAATGGTTTTATAATCATTTGTGGTTAGCCTGGGCAAAAGTTTGTTTCCCTTTATTCATTCACGATTTATGTACATCTCTTCTGAATTGATTAAAGCTAAA